TGTGTGTGTGTGTGTGTGTGTCAGTGTTGGTTGGTGTGTAGCGATAAAGATTCTCCCGTCCCCATGAATTCAACATCGCTTGTTAATAGTCGTTAAATCTCCTTAACGCCTTTACCCATCTGTCTCTGTCTCTTTCTTTACCAAGCTCCTCTTCATGCCATAATATGTCATTCAGACCTTGACCTCCCTTTCCAGCGACGTCCCATCCATTGTCATCTCACCAGGTAGAGGCTCACTCTCTTCCCCGTCACTGTCAACCACATCCTCACCTCTTGCCGCGCGTCTCGCGTTCTCCCTTTCACGGTAAATCTCCGACCTCCTGATCTCGGCCTCGCGCAGGCATTCAATGTACGTATTGTACTTCACAATCTCGTTGAGCAGATGCTGGCTCTTCCTCTCCCAGTTGGTCATCGCCTTGACCGCGTTCACCGATCGAGGGGAGAACGCCAGCAGCATGGGACTCCTGAGTGCATTGTGTTTCTGGAAATCCTCATCGAGGCTTCTGACGTAAGTGATAAGATGTCCAAACTGTTCGCGTTCAGAAAGGGTGCTCGGCCGAAGGGACTGCGCGGGCGGTGTCCACTCGGCAATGTGAATCTTATCGCCTGGTAGCTTTGACGACGACGAGGGGTGGTTGGGACGAGGGAGTGAACCGGGGCCGCTAAACGTGAGACCGAGGGCGCCGCTGCTGGCCGAGCTTCCCGGCCGACCAAAGTCGAACGAAGAGCTTCTAACGCTGCGACGACTTTGTAGCGAGGCGCGGCTGCCCGAGATGGTACTGCCAACACCCATCGCTGCCATTGCCGATGCCGCGTTTGCTGCGCTGCCAGGGCGCGAATGGCCCTTGTGGTTGCTGCTGATGCTGTTACTGGCAGGACGCCCAGTAGTTCCGACAGCAGGTAAATTGTTCAGGTCACCGTTACTCTGGATGCCAGAAATCCGGGTCGTGTTGATGACGGCATCACTCCAGCCGTATTCGATATTGGAGACGCCGCCTATCATCGGATGGGTGCTCAACCGCGCACTCCAGTAGTTCGCTGTAGTCATAAACTCCCTGGCAATCTCGGCCGTTCCGACGTGGAACAGATGGACCGCCCCATCAGGTAACGCCAAACACCATACGTGCGGACGGGCTCGCGAATAGCCTGGTGGCGGCATGATAGTCGCCAGTGTCTGGCGCAGCGAGAACGTGCCCATGTTCACCGCATTGTCCTGCCAGTTGCCACCACCAACAACTCCTCCCGCCTTTTGCGCGTTGCTGCGCATTCCTCTTTTCCTGCTCGTCGACTTGTTTGGAGAGAAGGAGAACAAGTTTAGCTGTCCCTTCTGGATGACTGCAAAGACCTCGTTCCATGCGCGTTCCTTAGAGCGTTTGTCGGCGGTTTCCATATGGTGCTTATGCGTAACCATACCCTCCTTCACCCATGGTGGACCGGCTAATTCCAGGGACTCATCCTCCAGCAGCTCCCCGGTGTTGAAATCCTCCGTCTTGCTCATGGTGAGATCGAGTGTGTTGTCTTCGCGTATGATAGCCTGGCTAAGCGCATTTGCAAAACCAATCGATTGCTGATAGTCGCCACGGAAGGAGGAACCAAAAGAGTCCATGGACATGGTCGTATGGGTCCTACCCAGCGACGCTTTGCTCCATGTGGCCGAGGATTCGGTTGGGCTCCAAAGTGAGTTGCCGTCGTCAAAGCTGGTTCGGCTCGAGTTAAAGCCGTTGCCAAAGCCTCTGGGTCTCGACCGACTCTTCGAGTTCCATCTGGATGAATTCGCCTTGGCCCCTTCGGGAATCCTACCCCGAGTGGAAGCCATACCTTCTGACGGCGCCTTACTCAACACACTAGGGCTCCGCTTGAGCACGCCCATAACCGATAAACTGCCTTGGGTGGTTGTCGATAGGCTCGCCGTGTTGCCGGCACCGCCGAATAATGGTAGGCTTTCGTCGCGGATGGACGAGTATATGTCTTTTAGCACTGCCTCGACTTGCGATTCCCATCCCTTCAAAGGCCCATCAAAGGGTGCCCTTACGAGAGGCCCGCAACTGTCAGCGGTGGACGAATCTGTTACTGTACCAAAGCCAGACGTCGGCCGTGCTGGCGGCTTGAAAGATATCTGAAGCTGTTGTGTTTGTTTTCTTCGTTAGAGTTGCGACGGTTACCGTCAACGGCAAGGCTTGAACCTTTGCCAGGTAGGATACTGGGACGTTCAAATGCTTCTGGAACCGAATCCTCGAGTGCCTGTCGGATCGTGGTCATGGTGTTCTTGATAAATTGGCTCTTGGTCATCTTGTGTTCGATATCGGCCATATGCAAGTCCGTATTGAGAAGCATGATGGAGTAGCAAATAGTGTGGATGATGTCTGTAGAGAAAATGTCAGGACAAAAATGACGTTGATATTTTCTTTCTTCGCTTTGGGAAACAAGCACATACCCATTGACTTGAACCCATGGTTAGGATTGCATTCGCACCACCGGTTGGAGAAAGCGACCAGAATACGATCAACCTGCTGGGTTTCAGCCCTCAAAAGGAGGCGGTTGCAAAGCTGCCGCAAACTAGCACAGACGCTCATGTTCTCAAAGTCATAGTTCTCCATGTACGCCCGAAGCGTGCGTTGTCGAACAGGACCCTCCTCGCCCATCCATGCGGCCGCCTTTTCTTTGGGAATGAAGTCCTCGTTGCCTTCGTAGATCTTGAGTGCCTTCTGCTGGTCATCCTCGGTGGGGTCGCCGACCACGAATTGTTCAGGTTCGTCAAGTTCTGACTTGCCAGCCGGGTGGATCGATTCGGCAGTCTTCAAGCCACCCGTGCCCAAGCTCAGCGAAATAGGCTCAACACCATCGATCCGTAAACTAGGCAGACTGGGTTTCTTGGTGGCCTTGGAAGATACCTTCGAGTTCTGGCGGGCAGGAGCCTTCAAGTCCTCCTTTGGTTTGCCAAGACTAGGATAGCTCTTCGACTTGGATACCGTCGGCGATGAGGATCGTCGCTTCTTTTCCTGCTCTTTACCCGGCTTCAAGCTGACTTTACGGGACTCGGTGCGAGAAACTCTCTTGTTTTGCTCGGGGCTGTATTCGCTTTCGCTGTCATCGCGCAAGAAGGATCTCGGAGGTGAAGTCATGGTTCGATCAAGCGCCGGCCTGCCGGGCAGTTCTATCCGAGGCTGTTTGACCACCGAGTCACTAGAAGAGTTAGGATCGACGGCGCGAATGATGGCTTTCGGACTTGGTTCGTAGTCGGGAGAGAAGCCTCTCTGGTAAGCATCCTTGTTCCGTCTGATTTCCGGAGAATCCTCCAAAGACCTGTTTAGCGGGCCCAAGTCGGAGGGTTCCGTCGACGGTAAAGGGGCGTCCGCAGAAGACTGAATAGTCGGACTATCCATTAAGAACGGATCCATAGCCCGCCTTAAGCTGCCACCCATGGGACTCGGCTCCGGCCTGGCCGTCAGCGTGTCCGGCCTGGGTATTCTGGCTGGCGACTTGTTCAGCATGTGCGGGATTGGCGGTGGCTCCATTTCCGTGATGGACTGTTTCCGCCTCTTGAAGAAGGATGATGTCTTCTTCTGTAACGTATGTGTGACGGTTTGAGGCGGCTCGCGAACAGGTGGGATCGTTGGTGACTTAAGCGAGTTCATCTTGTTGCTGGAGCTATCGTTGGCTACCGATGACAGGTACGGGAACGTGGGCGGACTTTGCGAGTTCGCCTTGGATGAGCCAAACATTCTGCGGAAGAAGCCGGGTTTCTCCCTTGGTTGCTGGATGGCTTGTTGGATGGCGTTTATCGGGTTGTCGAGCACTGCATCCTTGGTTTTCTCATAGCCGACATGGGGAGCAGGCGCTGCGTCCACGTCAAACGGAGGTATGGAAACCGGAGGAACCGAGGGGACATCGCGCTGGGCATTGTATTTTACTTCGGACTGGCGCACCGTCGATGCGCTCTTTGAAGATCTCATGCTGCGTGGGCGATCGTTACTCGGGGCCTTGGGGGTTAGTTTGGAGCTGGTCTTTGTGTCGATGGGCGCAAGGACGGGCAATGACGGGACGGTAGTCAGCCTTCGTGGACCGGCAGGGACGTGAGGGGTGGGCGCGGCATCGTAGTCGTGGTCGTTGCCGTTGTCAAAAAGGGATTTTGAAAACTCGATGTGCCACGGAGCCTGTTGACTGGTTGACGGCCTTGCGTCGCCGTAGTCGAAACTGGATGATCGGCCAAACCCACGGGCCCAGCGCTGACTGCCAAGGACCTGCACATAGCCTGGGTCTATGCTGTTAGTGCTGCTGCCTTTGCTGCCCTTCCCGCTTCTCGAATGTATCGCCCGTGGTGTGCCACCCAGTTCGCGCATGCTGTTGATGCGACCGAGGCATGATTGGTAGCCAGAACTGCTGTTACTCCGGCGCCTGCGAGACGACCTATCATCCGCCTCATAATCGGAGCTGTAAGTGTATGCGTGTCCACGGCCTGCCCTCGAGTTGAACGACATTGTGCGACCGGTGTCGGCTCCGTACGAGTAGATGTTGGAATCGTCAAAAGCGTTCCGTGATCCGCCGAATGAAGTGCCCATCTGCTCCAATGACAGCTTGTCGAGGCCCAGGAGCATATTTGTGACCAGGGAATCGCGGGTAAACTGGCGGGGCGAGAGCGAGAGGTCGTGCGAGTCGCGATGGGGCGGGCGCGCCGATTCGGGGGAGGGTTCAGAGGGGTGTTCGGAGGAGGGATCGGACTCCTTGTTCGATGACATGTTGGTGTCGACGGGTCCAAGGCTTTGAAGAAAGGACTCGATATCGGCGGCGTTCCGCACGGGGGCCCTCAGCGAGCGGGCACCAGACGGAGATCTTTTGCGCTCGGGAGGCGTGGACGGGTGGAAGGGGTACTGCTGGTGGGCGGCGGGCGTGGTTCGCAGAAAGTCTTCGCTGCTGTGCCTCCTATGATGGCCGCTTGTGTGATGGCTCGTGTGATGAGCGTGGTGGGAAGGGGGAGTCGGAGTATCTCTGGTGTTGATCCTCAGGTCTACCCTTGGGTCGTCAGGGTGTTGGTTGTGGTTCCGCCTGGCATTCGCAATTCGGCGCGCCGTGTCTGGAGAATGCATTGTATACAGTAGCCGGAGCCACTCTCTGGGTCGAGACAAGCAAGATCCAAGACAGGGCGATTCTCAGATGGGAAAAAATTAAAGAGAGCGGGATGGATTGGGGTGTGACAAGCAGTGACAGGCTACCGATGCCATCCACTACTTGCACACTGAATGGAGAGAATGGAACGCGCCCAAGCCAATCCCTGTTACACTCAATCAAACAAGCTGATTTGAGCAGCGCAAGGGGCATCCACGGGCGATCGAGGAGAAGAACGACAAAGGATCCCTAGACAGGCAACGCGCTTGTGTCTTGTGGATGTGGATGTACAAGTGCAAGTACCTAACGTATCAAGTGGTGTTGGGCGCGTAGCGTGTAAAGAGCATGCGTGTGTGCTGTAATCTGTGTAATCTGTGTACCTTAATCTGTATTGATGTGGCACGGGACGAATTGACTGGGGATGAAAGGAATGCTGTGTGACTTCCCCAGAGACTGCGGCACGGGAAGCAATGCCAGTGAGGGTTGGGTTGGTGTGTGTCGTTTGCTGCTGGGTATAGTCGGAGTACATCTACAAAGAAGTCTCTCTTCTTCGATTGCCCTGTCAATTTTTTAGTTTGAGCAGACTGGACGGAGGGAATTAGATTAGAACTTTGAAAGCAGCTGAGCGTCCTCGACGGCTGATCGTCCTATCCATGACATCTCAGCGTACTAGGTACCTGTACTGTGCAAAAAGAGTGGGGTTTTCAAAAACGAGTGGCTGCTGTTTCTCCCGTCGCTGGCATTGAAACTTGAAATTTACAATTTGTACCTTCCCCAGACTCAATATGTCTCCGAGGAAAGCGAAATACAGGATGTGATCGCCGTGACACCAAAATGCTAGATTGAGATAATCGCACTCACATTCATACAGAATGGAGTTGAGTAAAGTCTGAAACAAAAACACCTGGTCTCAAGTGGAACGCTGTGCCTGGCCCGGCATTCGAACTCCTGGTACTTAGGCGAACGGGAGTGCGGGGGTTGACTCTGCACGGTTCAGGTACAACTCACTCATTCAGGTACCAGAACCCCAGACAGGGACTTCCTGGTTGTTCTTTCGGTCGATTGCGCGCGCCTGGAGCAAATGCTTTCATGATGCCTTCCTCAGACTAACATCGTGACATGACGGGCACATTTGTCTCCAACCAATCTCCGCTGTGAGTCTAGTTTACTGCTTCAGCTGAAAGTCTGGACTCAACAACTTCAAAAGAGATCTGGAGAAGATCATATGGAAGTGTGCACCCTCCACACCCTCCAGGTCGTACCCCGTTCGCCCCGTCTTCCCTTCGATGCGGAGGCCCCTTTTTCTGGATACACACTACTGAAAATGCAAGTCACAATGCATGGCTTCCACCATCTTGAGCGTTCGTTGGCTCACACAAACTGCGCTTTCCCCTTTTGTGTTGCCAAATGAAACTTTAGTGCCCACTGCCCACCAGTCCGTGCACAAGACCGAAGCATGATCGAATTCAATGCTCAGGTCCCTCTTCGTCTGGCTCTTTGAGAAGGAGTTCAACATCTCTTTTCGGCCTCCATCGATCCGGACCCTGAATTCTTTTGTCTCCGTCGTAACCTCAACTCCCCTTGTCCGATCTTGCTGACATCCAGGCATGTATCTGAAACGTGCCTTGAGAGAGAGAGAGAGGATCGATATCAACAGTGTTCCTCATTTTTGTTTCGCCAAGCCTCAAGCGTTGCAACTTGGGGGTCCACCGAAATCTAACTGCCACCATCCTAGGGCGAGTATTTGAGCCCTCTCTGCCCCTGGAGCTAGATATCACCAAGGGGTTCTTCTAAGGGATCGCTATATCCGATAGACCCTTTTGGTAGGGAGGTAGCTATATCTGCCTCTATCTGTCTTTTTCCCCTTTCCTTATATCTGTTTGTCAGCTTTCAAAGCTACGGGATAATCCAACAAGGCAATTGTCTTTTTGATGGGACGGGATGGACAGGAAAAACTGTTACACCCACCATCCGGAGGGTAATCAAAATGAACATGCCATGGCAATTTCTTGATGTGGTTCAAACTCCACAATATCAACCAAGCTTCAGCTTCCATCCTTCAGCTAGGCAGACTCAAAACTCCAAGACCCAAACAGAACGAACAACTGGAGACAAACACGCGACCGACAGACATTAAAGTGCTAGTCAAAGGATCCAAGTCCTTGGAGCCAAACCCGTCCATCGATAATCCCTTGTTCTCGTTGGTGACCTCCACCATATACACTAAACTCGACATGCACCAACATCATCCACCATGCACACCATCAGGATAGATCTTGGCAGCCACGTTTTCACTCCCTATATAAAGGAACAATAAATCGTGGTTATGCCATTCCAAGATCTTACATCTTCCTCCAGAGGAGTAAGCGATTTGTTAACCGGAATAGAATAATGTCTCTACCACGCAATCTTCTATCCGAGCCACTTGACACATTCTGTCCACTTACAAGCCCAAGAAGTGCTTCAGACCGATCACGCTATGTAGGTACATCACATGCCCGTCCAGGGCCGTTATGATGACGATGAGAAATGAGAGCCGCAATTCAGCAATGAATCCTCTCTTCTGGTTCGTCATTGTCCCGACATTCAGTTCTCTTTTATAGATTCTTCGTTTGTTTTTCTCTCCTGTACTGCTACGCAACTTAACCGTTGCTGCATGGAGCGGAGCTATGCATCTCGATATCTGACTGACATGTCGAATTTCAAGTTTGTCAGTTATTGGTGGTTTTGATTTCTACATTGCAGTCTTTTGAGTTTGAACACGGACATCTAAATCACATCAGGAACAAAAGCTTTTCATGGTTTTGGTAATACTTGGAGAAAGATGCCACAAGGAAATGCGAATGGTAACAAACTACATCCTTTCAGGGGCGTATCGTAATGACAATACAGCTTGAGATGCATGCATGTCGGTTCAATGGACAGTACTCCATGTACATCATGAATCGTGTTTGTAAATCAGTAGAATTATTTGAGCCGGAAACCGAGAGCAAAGAACAGAAAATATTGAAGACTATCAGATTGGTTCTTGAGTTAGACCAACGAAGTACGTACAGCATGGTGTAGAGTGACGTATCTCCTTGCTGTGAGTTGTCTACTCTTTTCAATTGCTATAATCTTTCGGTTGCTCCCACAAATCGGTATCGAGTACAACCTGTACCGTGATGACCCTTGAACACCACAATGTGACCTGGGCTTACTTGAAATAACAATAGTTGTTAGACTGGAATGTCTCGGTTGCTCCTGTGCATTCCTGCGGTGTCGAGACTAGGTCGTGACTTCCTCTTTTCGACAAGTGACGGACCCCGTTCATTCCACCTGTGGCAGTCGTCACCCATTCGCTACCCGGGTCCTGTTTCTGTTCCCAACCAGGCAGAGAATTTCGTCTCCTTCATTCTTCCAGAAAAGCATTCAACATGACAATTTCCCCGTGCTTGGATTTCCTCTTCCTTCTACTATACATGATCTCCTCTATCTCTACGTGATCGATCCTCCTGATGTCATAGAGACCTACGAGCTTCTCAGTCATCGCAGATGCAACCACATGTCTGGCCATAGTTCGAAATTACAACATCTACATTGGCTGAGAACCTGCTTGCACGGTGATGCTTTCAAAATATTTTCTGAACTGACTATGACTCCATATATCGGCCGAGATCCCCTGGCCAGTCCCCATCGTGGCCGAAGCTGATGATGCTGACAGAAGAGCTTTACTCTGCTAATCAATAGTGAACAGGTATCTTCCAGACACCCCACATGCCTGAGCTCAACAAGGCATACAAATCCCAGGTTCCATATAGGCTTAGCATCTTTGAGCTAGTCGATGACTCCTATCGCAGTCCAGCATGGAACATCAACCAAGGGCCATCCTCGATAAAATATGGCTGAGGAAGAGCCTCGTCTCATTACGGGCGAACGACAAAGGGGTAGCCGCTCGCCTGAGACGCGCAACTTGACGAGGCCAACGGAGGAATCGCCGACGAGAAGACCTCCCTGGTTGAAAAGCCGGACGCGGGACAGTAAGTGATCCCGAACGCCCTCCCCTGGCACAACTTCCAGCATGAAGGCCTCAATCACAGGGTGACGGTGCCTATGTTCGACAGAACAACGCTCACTTCTCGTCTCACTCGTCCTCCTCTGGCTCCCCCTCTTCAAGATCCAACTCCATGTCTTCCGCCCAGAAGTCCTCCTCCTCATGTACGACCTCAGGAACATGTACACCCTCAGGAACACGTACACCCTCAGGGAAACCTACACCCGCAGGGACATGTACACCCTCAGGGACATGTACAATTTCCGTCATGTTCTCTGTCTTCATCTGCTTGCTCTGCCTCGTTCCTTTCGCCATGAACCTATGCAGCACCTCAAACTTTGTCTTTCCTGCTCCCTCAAAGATCTCCTTGAACAGCTTTCCCGCTTGCTCGCTGATGAGCATCTCAGCAAACACGACGGTAGTTTCAGTTTTCTTGAGCATGTTCTCGAGGCTGTCTTCAAGAATGGGAGCTTTGGGTCCACGTGTACGCTTCTTCTTGATGCCCAAAGTGCTGGCTCGGAAGGCCTCCTCGTCAATGATGCTCTCGCACAAGACTTCAAGAAGCTTCTTGAAACAACTTTCTCCCTCTTTTCCGTCGTGACTCTCACATGTCACAGCGAGGAGGCGGTGCTCTTTGCCAGTGTTAGGGCTAGGTTTCGAACCCAAACCTGGGTTGTGAAAGCTACCAGAAAAGTTGCGTTTGATGCCCCTGCTCTTAGCCACCGGGGCACCGCCCGCGGAAGCAGCAGTAGCACTGACATCAACACCAGAATCAGCAAAACTGGGAGGAGTGGTAGCAGCAGCAGACGCTACCACGTTTGCCGCCTCTGAGCGCCCATACGCCTCTTCGTAGAAGAACGCAACCCGCTCCAAACCCGTCCACAACCGACGAGGCGGCATAGGAGGCATGTGAGCGTGAGCGGCAGGAGTTTGCGTCTTGGAGTGGTAGTAGCCATCATAGAGGCCAGGAGTGTCGGTGTTCTCGTCTCCTTCGGGAGGAGGATTGGCTCTCCTCCTCCGAGTCTTCTTTTCCTCGGGCCAAACACCGGCACGATTTCCCTTCGCTCCAAACTTGACCAACAGCTTGACTGCAGCCAAGGGGCAGGTGTTCCAGGTCCATACAATGGGGGTTACTGGACTGGTGCCTCCACCTGTGCGGGCTTGGCGGCGTAGGTGGTCGAGAGTTTCACCTGAACTAAGACAGGTATCGGGGTCCAAGGCGGACCAGAGCACCGATTCCAGGACGGGCGTGAGGCTGGGCATGAGATCCTGTTTGGCGTGCCAGAGAAGGTGTTCGGCAAAGGTAAGGTCATGTGCGAGAAGGGCTTTCTCGAGGGCGGAGGTAAGGATGGGGCGGATGAGGCGGAGGGAGGGGAGATTTTCATCGCGGAAGGAGATGATAGTTTCGGTGGGCTTGGAGGGTGCTTTTCTTGCGCGAACTGGTTGTTTGACACCTTCCTTGGCGGTGCCGGCTTTGCCTTTGTTCTTGGCAGGGTCCTTGAAAATAGAGAACTTGACAGCATGATCCTTCTTGCCCTTGACCTTTTTGCTCTTGGGCTCTAGGTCCTCCTTGGGAATCACATCGACACGCGTTATCAATTCCCGATAAAAATCGAAAAACGGCTCGATGGCTCTCATGTTTTGGGTGCGGAGGCCAGATCTCAGGGTGACAAGGCGGCCGGAGCGCAGATCCTGATGAGCCAGCTTGTCATAGAGCCAGATGCGGATTTCGCGGCGGGTGGCTGACAAGTTGACCTTGTCTTTGCGGTCCTGGAGAAAGTCCATGATGCAGAAGAGGAGATCGACGGGTAGCTTGGTGAAGGGTGATTTGCGGCCGGCGATAGGAATGCTGGGATTGGTCCTGGGGTCAGGAGTATTGTCGACGATGTTGGCAGTAGGTCTAGGACGGATGGGCACGAAAGTGCCATCGTTGTTGATGGTGAAACGGATTGGTGACGACGGAGTGCTACCGCCGTTGTCGGGGAGGCGGACGGGCAATCCACTGCTATCACCGTTGCCGGCCTGGAAATGGTAAGGGAGGAGCGACATGATGCCCGTGGTGCTGGCGATTATCTTGTCGAATAGTAATGACAGGATAAAGAAAACGAGCGATGAAATGCCCGAGGGCAACACTGCAAGAAGTGCAAAAAGTGCTGCCAGTAATTGCTCGAGAAGATGCAAAGGAGTTATGTCGACTAGAAATAGTAGGATCGATCGCTGCTGCTGCGTCTTTGATCGAGACCAGCAGAAGCAGAAAAAGAAGTCGATGAGCGACGAGCGATGAAAACGCTGTCCGAGGGCACCGTAACAAGCTATGCTTGAGATGAAGAAGCGATAGAGTTGTGGTTGTGTCGATAAGTCGGATGATGATGATGGCTGCGTTTTTGATGACCGAGAGAAGAAGACCACCGAAGAGGAAGTCTTGATACTGGAAGGTCTGTTGTCTTGCAGAAGGCATACGACCCTTTGAGAGTATGCTGCCTGGGTGCTGCTGCTACGTTCGTGGGTGAAATCAATCAGTCAGTCGTCAAGTCGTCAAGTCACCACAAGTCACTACAAATGTGGTAGTGTGGTGATGGGCTTGCGACAGAGTGATTTGGAATTGAGGAAAGAAAGATAGATAGATGCCTCCAGTCGATGGACGTTGGACGCCCCAAGAGCTCGACAGGAAAAGTCGAAGTCGCCAAATGATCTTCCGCGCAATCAACAAAAAAATCTTGACGGTGTCAAATCAGAAGTCGAAATCAGGCGAAAGTAGGTTTTATACTTCGGTCGCTAGTCGACTGGAAGTGGAGGTTTTGATCAGCTTACTTGGTACGGCGAGTGTGAGTGTGAGTGAATGGTAGGGCGCAAAATTGGATCTAGCAAATTATTGAGTCAAGTCAACTTTGACTTGGACTTTGACTTGCGTAGAGGTACAGTGGCGGGCGGCGGACACTTGACGACGACGGCGAAGACGGCGACGACGGCGACGGGAGACAGAACAGAGGTGACTGACTGACTGACTTGACTGACAGCTGAAAAAAAAAAAATGGGACTTGGGACTTGGCAGTGGCTGGCGATTCGTGATATTCAGGTTGTTGGTGTGGTGAATGGCAGTTCGGCGTGAGTGAATGGTACCTATAGTGAATGGTATCTGGTGAATGGTATGGTGAATGGCTTTTCGGTATAGTCGTGGTGAGTGAATGTCCAGATATCAGATACGAGATCGAAGAGTGACAGACAGGTCACAGGTCTTGACTCCCTCCACAAGAAGGATTCGACTGCCTTAACGCCAGACCAGACCAGACCAGACACTGAAGTGAAAGCCCGGGGTAAAATGTGGGATGTGGGATGTCCTGCCCTGCGTGCATCTTGCGTCCTGCGTCTACTTCTGTCTGCATTGCATGTGCAAGCTGTTGACCTTGAAGTCCTTCACTGCCACTTCGCCAATGAACCTGAACCTGGACCGTCACTGAACCGTTACTGAACCCGGGCGGCAACGGACCCAAGAAACCCGGGGGAACCTCAGGGAGCAGAGGACTGAGGAACTCGAGCAAGCAGACTTCGACAGAACCCGCTAACCAGCCAGCCTTAGGCAGAACAGAACCACCTTCGGCAACGCGGGGACTCCCAGATACACTAGCGACAATGGTAGGGCAGTTGAAGATGCCCTGTTTCGTTGTGATTGACTGGCTGCTTGATGCCGATAGAATGGGATTCAACTGATCCCCACCGGCTGCGGTTTCTGCGTGAGATAGATAGACACTCGGTATCTCTCAAAGTGTGTTGTACGGTAGGTAGTACCTCTCCTCGAGACTAGACTAGGTATCGTGGTTATGGATGCCAAGGAGTCAGAGACGATTCTACCATAGTCCTGGACGAGTATGTCTGCAGAAGTGTATTTTCGAGATTTTTGGGTACTTCGATTAGGTACGTTTAACGGCGATGCGGCAATTTGGTGACTGAACTCTGTCGATTTCACATGTTCGATTGTCGACCAGTCCATTAGGAATACTGTTGAATGTTGATAGAATGTTGATATTTCGCGATGGTGTCGATGACAAGGCTGTAGTGACCGTGACGTCGTGTTACATGGAAGGAGGGCGTACAAACGTTTAATAGGTATGTACGTTTGAGCCGCACAGCTTTGGGATTGGTTGACCAGGACCCGAGAATATCGTACATGACTGGACGCCGTGCTGCCAAACATTCACGCGGAGTACAGTTGAGGTGGTGCCTGACTATGAACTCGTCAGCGTTCGTTCTTATTTGCTTTCCCCAGTCAGATATGTCCAGTCTTGAATGATTACATTCGACCTATTTCAGCTTAGTCAAACGATGACTCTATGTACGATCTATTTAGTAAATAACAGGTAAAGAAGGAAATGACATGTTATACGTACGGTACCTGTACTTGTATTCCCATTCCCAAGATGTGTGCCCCATCGTGGTTTCCGGTTCGACGCCCATCCAAGGTTTTATTTTCCATAACCCAAAAACCAACTTACCCCAACCTATCCATGAACGCCTAATCATATCCAATCCTACCCAATCCATGATCCAGGACGCTCGTGACCTCCCGTGTCTAAATGCATGTAATCTATAGATTCTATAGCCTTCGTTGTATCCCGTATCTCCGCTAGGGGCGACATTGGCTCATTGAGGTTCCTCCTTGACAACAGTCAATCGTACAGAGCCCATCCTGCGTTGTGGCGTCCGTGGCGCCCGTGTAACCCGATATCTGCCCAGCGTCGCCGGTAGAAACCCATTCTTCTGCGGTCCGGTTCTGTTGATCTTTTGCGCTCTTGGCCCGCTCCGTTTGATTTGCACCTTGCGTGGCCCTCCTGGTGGTTGCCTTCGTGGCCCCTTTACGCGTGTCGCGAAGCCGGCAACCCTCATGTTCGTGCTCTTTTGCGTTTGGTCTTTCGCCATCATCGCCCGTAGAATATCCCTTCCCAAATCCCTGTCCTTATCCTTATCTATGTTGAGCCCGTACAGGTGCAGGAATTTCCACTCATTCTTGAAGTGGGACTTGATGAAGGCCTTCTCCGCCTTCGTATAGCCATGCCTGTCCACAGCCTCCTTCGGCCTCCCAGGACCACCAGCAGGACCGACATTATTGCCGCCGTCATTGCCGATGCCGAAGTCCGGATCGGCCTCCTCATCATCGGTGGTACCGAGCGTCGCACTGCTGGCATAATCGTCGTCATCGCCGCTATCTCCATGATCCATATCTCTGTCCGCAAGCAAATTCTGCATCTCCCGCTTCAAATTCCACTTATCCAGCTCGTCAGCGGCCCACTGCGCAAAGATGCTGATAGGCAAGCTTTCGGGCCTCGCTTTGAGCACCGACTGCCGCGTTATCGGTCCGATCGGCGGCCCGCTCAGTTTCAGCGCGAATAGCACGTGGTCGGGATCGAAATAGGCTACCATCTTGCCCTTGTGATCTTTGATGCAGCCCTTCATCAACTCTCCTTGCCTCTGCTGCTTCTGGCTCTGCCCAATGTGGTTGTGGTGGCCTTCCACCTCCTCGCCGTCCATGACCGAGTAACTCCTGCTTTCGCCCCTGGCTGGGAAGATGTAGACGGAGCAGGACTGTCCATCTATGTTGGGGATCTTGGCGAGGATATTGCAGGTCGCGTCGGGCACGTGCAGGACCGTTCGGAGAGAGAAAATGCCCTGGTTTTGTCGACCGGTGCGCGCTGGGTGGCGTTTGACGTTGAGGTTGACGGTGCCGACGCCGCGGACGGCGAGGCTTTGGCCGCTGACGCAGACGGTCGAGTCGAAGGGGGTGTAGGTGGTGAACCATTCGCGGTCTTTGGCTACGCTGAAGGGAGAGAAGAGGGATGGTTAGTTGTGAGCGATGGAATTGGGGTCAGGAATGACAATTTGGAACGAGAAGAGAGAGGGCCAAGGAGCACCGGGGGAGATAATGACATACCTCACGTTGGACATGGTCGACCATACCCAGTCTGGACAGAGCATAGGTATGGAGGGGTGCGTACGGGCGCCGAGATCCGTAGGGCCTTCATCTTTCTGGGCGCGTCGATTCCTCATCTTCTTTTGCCTCTGATTCCGGGGCTTCTTTGGCTTTTGCTCCGGTAAAGTGAAGAGACCTGTAGGGCCACCAGCAAATGAGGCTGGCTCACCCGTAGGTCTCGATATCTCGTGGCCCATGGTGTGGGCGGGGCGATCTGGGACGATTTTGTTCTTGAAAACTGGGCGAGCGTCGTGTTGTGGAGAGAGTTATATCACACAAGCCAGAGGTGATGAGTTAAGAACAGAGGACAGAATGGGCTCCGTAGGGCGGGCTGGAAGAATAACTGGAAAGTACTGGTTGTCGGATGCAATTGTCAAAAAAGCATTCAAAACATGGAGTTGCGGTCGTTGAGGTGTGCCTAGCGCGCCTTTCACAGCGGGAGTCTAGCATTGGTTAGCGGGGAAGACCCTTTGTGGGGTACAGCAAACGGGACCCATGCTGACTTGTTAGGAGCTTCAGGCTGGGAGCCGGGCCGAGCCTCAACCATCATCTCCTCCCATCTCTCGGCTCGTCCAAGTTCGTTGGAGCTGTAGACACAAGAGTCACTCACAGTTGATTCATTATCATCTTCATCGTTATTTTGTCTTTTTAGGGAATAAATGGGAGTGGTCCGTTATGAAAACTTTGCCCGGTCGTCTTGTTTCATTTTCGACTTTGTTCCCAGCAAGTCCATTGGTTACTGCCGCAAGGCCTTTCTTCTCTGACATTCCAGGGGACGGGACCTTTTGTTGTTGTTATTTTTAACGTCTACTTCCGCCTCCCGTAGGGCATAAAATAATGCGTCACCTACAGGATTCGAACATGTGCAGGGGACGGGACCTGTCTTCAAAGGAAGGAGAAGAGACCGGCCATTCGAGCATCCAGATTCATCCCTTTTCTAAGAGATGACAGCTGCGCTAGAGATGTGATGTTCAGTCGCTAGTCTAGACGTAAGGCATGGAGCGAGAGACAAGTTGACAACTGGGCTTTCTTTTACTTTTCAATTTTCTTAGCTTCCCAGTTTCCGCTTTTGTCGTTTGAGGAAGCATAAGTATAAAGGAATGTGTTACGAAAGTCATCGGTTCTTGTTGTCATCAGAAATTGGGCGACTACCTAGGCGAGCTAGGGCATGAGGCTCATGCAACCTGCACCTTGTTGGTTGAGGTGTGACTTTGAACAGGATAGGTAGGTATATGAGTGAGCGGTAGGCACAAGAGTCATCATGCAAGCGCAGTTGTACTTGATCATTGAGCTAACAATAAAGTAGGAAATCGGAATCACGCAAGTGGTTTGAATCCGTTAGAAAAAAGAAGGAAAACAGAATTGGACGAGGGAATAACAGGATTTGGGAGGTGAAAAGCATCGCAAGAAAGAAGACAAGGAGAGCTAACCGAAGAGGGAAACAGACAGGACTATAAATACAACACCGGGAGCGGTCCAGTAGGCGAAGAAAGGAATGAGAGACTAAAAGAAGAACCAACGTGAAGAACAGACAGAGCGAAGTGAAACGATGACCGATAACACAGAAAAGTGAAAGCAAAAGCTTGAAAAGTATCTTAAGTTCGGCGGAAGATAACCAACAAGATGGGAAAGATCACAGGGCAGCCCGAGCCCCCCCACATCTTGTGAAATCCCAATCAGTTCCTGACCCCGTCTTTATTTCCTTCGGAAATCTCTACCACCAAACTCTGTGGTAAGGATAAGCCTTGGCTCATTACACCACCATTGCTGAGAAGTTGAGAAGGGTTTGGATGCAAAGGATCGGCCGTAGGCGAAGGTGCTGTCCTATCTGCTTTTGCGCCGGGTACGGAAGAGCCGCTACCACCCCCAATTGGAGGCGTATTTATGGCCTCCTGGTTACTTCTTCCCGAGGAAGAATCATTTGGCTGAGCTAGGACCTCCATAGGGATGACCGTGGTCATTTGGTTAACCCTAATGTCCGACCAAAGGCGCATAAACAGTTTACCGACTCCTTGACCAAAAATGACAGCTCCGTTTCTGGATTCTTCCAAATGAGAGGGCATAATAGGGTGCTGCACCCTGAGAAGAACGGGGACTTTGGTTATTGCTGACGGAACAATGTGTTGTACTGGGCAGCAATTTGTGCTTGAGGGTGCCGTGGAATTGCCTCCGGCCGAGCATGATCAGGCAGAGAACGGGTGGCCCTTTGGGGAAGGGTTCAACCATCCCAATTGTGTGCTAAGGGGTAGAAGCTTCACCTTAGCTTCTGCATTTCCCTCAACTAAAGTAGTGTCTCGCATGGTGTTCAGAATGTCTTCCACACCGGCGCAGAGGTAATACTCTCCTGTAGGGAGGGCGGCCCAATTTTGGCAAGAAGCGTGGCTGGAATCAGTGCGGAACTATCAGTTCTCCAAATCCCTTACCCAAAAGTGTCACCGCGCCAGTCTCTTTCACAAACTCAACCCAACTGAATGCGTCCATGGTGAGTGAAGCCTCTCGGAGATCAAGATCACGCCCTCGCGCCAGATTACAAAAGTCCCAACCCTGAAGGTGGCGACGTAACCGCACATTGGCGTTTATCCCTTTCGAGGTTCGAACCTCAGACTGATGATCGAACATTCTCTCGAGTGTTCCAAAGACTTCTTCCACCTTGTCTTGAAGTGTTATGTATGACTTGGTGGATCCGGTGACAGCATCGACATCCATTGCGTTTTCATTGGGTGATGTGTGCGGGGTCTCCTCTCGAACATACAAGCCGAGCCTCCGGTTATTGTGATCCAGGAGAATGTCAATTGCCGAGACCTTGCCGGTGTTCATATGGATGTTGAACTTGGAGAAACCGAAGGTGTGAGTTGAACTTATCGATACGACAACTCTCCAGTGAGCTGCGCAGCAAGTGGAACAGGGCATCGAGCCCGTTCAATAACCACCCGCGCTTGTCGGCTTCGTCCCAAAGCACCACGGATTTGTCGTGTACCCATTTCAGCTTCTGTGTGTAACTGTCCCGTGGTTGGTGAATCGGCCTGTCCTTTTTCCCAATGGCAAAGGTCGCCCCTGCAGTAAATATGGAGCCGACAGAAAGAGCAATCTTCTCGAGGACAAACTTTCGTGATGACAAAGGCAGCCCGGAAGCTTTGATAGAGCCACAGGCAATGTCTGGGTTACCTTGTGTCACCAAAATCAGTATTTATCATTGTGCCTCCACTAGACGGTTCCCATAGAAATAACAGAGTCAGCATGCTTTCTTCAAAGTAAGGTCTCCTGGTAGGAAATTAGTCCAAACCAGCAATGGAGAGGTACTTGCCGCAAGTCTCTGGGTCACCTTGACCATCAACTCGCCTTCTGAAAGCATCTTGAATAGCCCATAGAATTTCAGGGCCAACACAAGGCCATACCTGACTCACATAAGCAGAGCAAGTAACAGCTTGTGTATGATTTGATGTCCCTGTTATTGTGATCACTTCACCAAGTGTTTGGTTCTTATTCCCATATTCCCGTGAGAGGAAGCCAGTTAAGTCCCACTCAAAACTAAAGCGGGCCATGAAAGGGTTGTTTGCGATATACTTCTCAAGATTAACTGAGAAATGTTCGAGAGGACTCATCTTCACGATCCTGTCCTTTAAAATTGAGGCACACAACCGCTTAAAGACATGTGACTTGACCAGAATTGCTGTAAAGAGTGAAGTCATTTCGGGCGTCGGCATATCCTCCATGGCATTACCGGCAGTGCTGGCAACCGACTCTATCTGACGAGAGTCCCAGACTGGTATGTCGCTTAACCATTCCAACATCTTTGTGGGTGTTACGTATGTGGGTTGCGGCTGGCTGCCATCAAACCGACCCTCTCTCGCTAAGGCTTTTTGCAGCGTGTCTGCTGTCAAGAGAGTGATCCGTCTGCGATTTTATCAGTTCACACGTTGATGACTCCAAATCCCGAATTATCTGAAAGAGAGAAGAGAGGGACGTAACTTACCTAGCCTGTACGGAAACTGAAGTCGTTAAAAAAGCTGCAGCAACATGGGAGAGCTTTGGCAGCCGCTTCGAGTATGACCGGAGTAATTTGGGGAGACCATTTTTTCTGATAAAGTCCATTACGGCAATACTCTTCAGAGGAGGTGAGGTCGATCTGCACGCCAACTCCTCCGCGAGGATGCGCCTAGCGAGAACCTTGTAACCTTCAGCCGAACGATTACTTGGCCGCAAGGAAGAGGGTTCAGACAGGGTACCGAAGGAAGGGTCAGACAGGGTACCGAAGGAAGGGTCAGACAGGGTACCGAAGGAAGGAACTACATTTGAGGAAGAATCAGAAAGGGTATCGAAGACACATTCTCGACGGGGCGGATTATTTCCACTGGTTCCCAGGTGAGAGAAATCGTCAGCACTGTGTGATGCTGTAGGTTAGCACTAATCTCAAAGCTTCAACCTACCTCGGATCTGTCCGTCGCCCTCACATCCGTCGCCCTTAAGCCCATCATTTTGGGCGGTGGTCAATGTGATGTGTTCTGTTGAGTAGAATTGGGAGAGTGATAATTGGAAAGAGAAAGAGAAAGAGAAATCAAAAGGGAAAGAGAGAGGTCAGGTCAAGCTTGCTTACCAGGCTGCGATTTGACAACCGCGAACGTGGCGTAGCTTCGCACTAGGTACCTGGTACGTTCGCAAGCACTCCATAGTCTACCTATCTAATGTATCTTAGACATTCAAAGCTGAAGCCCTCCCGCTTGAACTCAACCATGTTGCGAGATTGGCCAGAGCTGAGGGCGCAGTGTGTTGTTGCCCTGCCCAATAGAGTGGCTACGATAAAAGCAACAGCAAATGCTGAACAGAAAGGACATCTGCGGCGGTAAGATTGGCAAGATTGGCCATTTGGGGAATGCCATGACGAGAGACTGAAAACATACGATCTTACTTTTCGAGGCCTGGGGGAAAAGAGCTGAAAGCGACTGCAAACTGAGACGGCCACCTGCAAATGGCTTGCTGCCTTGACAAGTGCATCATGCCATTGAAAAGGGCAGATAACTAGGTATGTACAATAGAGCAATAAGAGTGCCCATTAACATCAACAATCAAGTATATACCGAAGAGCGCACACCCTCGACAGCTTTTCCTTGTCACCCCCAGGATTTGGCGTCAACATCCCAGCGCACCCACTTGTTCCTTTCTCTCTTTCAGCCTCTATCCCCCCGCCATCTCCCCATTATCCCAATTTTTCGCGAGCCTTCCTTCCGCCTGCAAGCAGCAACCGCCGGGCCCGGGTTGATGTAGCTAGTAGGAAGAGGCCAATAAAGCTGGAACAGAATGCCGGGGTCGGTCGCCTTGTAGGCACCAGGGAAGGAGACCAGCTTGCCGCTGGTGTTGAGCGTTCCCGAGCCGCCGGTGACGTTGAGCTGAGCGCACGCAATGTACAGCTGAGCGCCACCAACGCTGCTCGCAGAATGCAGAGCGATGTGCTCCACACGAAGGAGGTATTCGCCAGAGGCAAGGCAGGAGGGGAGGCGGACGGAGACTTCGGTTTTGCCTTTTCGAGTGTGGGGTTAGCATGGAACAGATGAACGACGGGATTGGGTTGGGGGGAAGGGGAAAAAAAGGAAAGTGTGGGAAAGGGGTGAAGGGAATGAAGGAATGAACAAGAGGAGAGGGATGGAAAAGAAAAGAAAAAGAACAGACGAACCATCACTAGGCCACTTAAGACTGTTCGTCCCCAAGCCACTCGGTCCGTCCTGGTAGATCTTGAACCAAACCGCGCCCTTGCCGTCAAAGTTGGCAGCCGTATTGCCCGCGGGGACCTTGGCCATGTAGAAGTGCAAAGGACCGGGATGGCCGATGGAGGTGTCGACGGTGAAGGTGTAGTTGGATCCGGCGGCCACGGACAGAGTCTTGGGCGCTCCCTGGCCGGGGTTGAGCTCGTAGCAGGTCATGGCTTGCGAGGTGACGTCTTGCACGGGGCCGTGGGAGTACCGGTTCTCGGTGGTCCGGATGTGCTCCCATTCGCCGGAGACGGCGCCGGTGGAGTAGCCTTTGGGGAAAGTATCTGGAGCTGGTGTTAGTATGGAAAGGAAAAGGGAGATGTAGAGTGTTAGGGAGGGGAAGAGAAGCGAAGAAGGGTAACTCACAGTGAGCCTGAGCTCCGGCCGCAGCCATGAAGGCGAGAGCGCTGCTGAACTTCATAATGAATGTCGGCTGTCAAAGGTGTAAGTATGGCTGTTGATCGACACGGGAGACACCTACCAACAACACAATGAGGGAAAGCAGGAAGAGAGAGTGTTTTATATCCTTTCACGACACATACATCTCCCTGCTTCGCCATAGTCCATCCCCTGACGATCGGTGCTACTGCGTTGGATCACTCGCCCTAGGATTCCTCACCCTAATTGCCGTCTTGACTCCCGACTCCCGGGGATGTTGTCTTCATGTAATGCTACCATAGCCTTCCATCCGGCGGGAGACAGTCCATGTGTCTTTTTGTGGGATCATGCCCGACATCTTGGTTTTCTTTTCCTTGTCAGTCGGTAGGTATGGGGCGCATTAATAATTCGAGGACGTGGAGGAGGCCTGCTTTGTGTGTGCAGGTATGTGTGATATGTTTGGAGTAGTGGGAATTTCGGGTGTCAACCTGGTACCATGGCCTTGGAAGCGAACTTCATGGACAAAGCGGTACATATGATACATATTACCGCTCCGCGGAGTCATGTGGGAAATGTCAGTAAACTGACATGAAGGGGGAATGTTCGTGTGTGGTGTCCGTTTCCAATGGCATATCGGCATTCGGTATTCTTCCCACAAACCTGCTCTTCAACACTCTGTTTGGAGTAACCGTGACCGGGGAAGTGGGATCGCAAAGTTGCCCAGATCTTGCGTACTTGCGGGGTGTTGCAGTACCGAGCCGGAGTTGAGGATGTATTTGTGCGATATGGTGGTGCGGCTTTGTTGCCAAAAGTGAGGGATCGGGAACCTGATCCCATGTGGTTGTCGATGCGGCTCGATATTCCGAACAGCGGGTGTGATGGGTGTCAAGACCCAGCCATCCAGGTGATGCCCCTTTCAGGTAAATGGTAGTTCAAGGCACATGACGTTCATTGGGTTCAAATACCACGATGAAACATTCTTGGTGGTATTTCAGAGGAGTGTCTAGGAAGCATGGGCGCACGGGTGAAGCGGCTGTGAAGCGAAAAGCCCGGAACACTCAACTCCATGATTTCCATTTCGGGAATCGTTCGTCCCCCCGGTGCCTCCGTTACGCTTTGCTTGGTGGCCGATCATTGCCCCGTACGCTTGGCTCTTGGCAGGAACATATCGGAGGAGATGCCATCATGCGGCCGGACATGGGTTGGGAGAGGGAAAAGGTGCAGAAACCGATCGATCAGGTTTGAACCATGTGCCAAATTGTGGATGCAGGAGGTTGCCTCGAGAGAGTTGTCACGGGCCGAAGCGCCTCCTGGGATTTCTTAGCGGTGGCTGTGCAAGTAAAGTTTCCGAGATCCATACGGCATACTGGCCGGAGTCTTATTAGGTATGTTTACTAGCTCGTCATAAATTTGCTGTCACGACCGAGTGCTTGCGACTGGACCTGTTCCCTCTCCAGTGATCTGAGCTACTGCTCTATCTCAGTTCCTATCCGTCTCCAAAACAGCAACACTCAGCTGCGGCAGAGTGAAAGAAAAGGTGCCTCCCTCCTTCGCATTCAACCTGGTCTTGGTCTCCTTAACCACGTTGTTGTGCTTCCACGGGTCATTGTACTCATACGGATTGGCTGGGCCCGTCAGGACCGTCAGCGTAGCGGTCGCCGCTTTCTTATGCGGTTGCTTTACCTTGCCATTAAGTCCCGCGAACTGAACAGAGACGGCAACGGACTCGGTAGAGTTGTAGACTGCGGCCTTGAAGACGCTGGTGCCCCTTTCAGTCTCGCCAGCGACGTAGTAGAGGGGGCCGATTCCGCCGGTCTTGGCAGTGATGGGGAGGGTCTTGGTTATGGCGGTGGTGCCCAGGAGCTGAGATAATAGCTACTGTCAGTCATTCGTATGGGAGCAGGAGAGAGAGCAAAGACATACCTTCCAGACATGGTAGCTGGTCGATAAAGTGGTCAAGGCTGGGTCAGCAGCGTGCTGAATTTGCGTCATGGACCACTGCCAGCGGTTGAGGTTGCGAAGACCAGGAGCATAAGTGGTGCCAATGACCTTGTCACCGTTGCGCTCCAGTCCAAGCAGGAAGATGGCTTCGGCGACACTGCCTCCCCACCAAGGGAAGGGCATCAGGTTGCCATCCCAGCCAATACCGCCGTTGGGGTGTGTGGACGCTGCCTCGCCTGGAGATAAAAGTCAATGCCAAGACTACCGTACCGGGTTCAGGTTTCAGAGAACATACCAATCAAGGTCAAGTTATCCCTCGTCAGAGCATCAAACTTGTTGAATTGCGACACCATGTTATCCGGTGTCAAGTACGGGTGATAATCGCCAGCAACCCCCTTGGGAATGGTCATGCCATCGAATACGGATGGCGAGGCAATGAGTTGGATCTTGGGATACTTCTTCTGGAACGCCTTGACGAAAGCCGGGAAGCGATATTTGATGTAATTTTCAAAGCCAGTAGGGCGGCCAGCCAGCCAGTCTTCATTGCCGATTTCAACATATCTGATCTTCCATGGGCGTTTGTGCCCGAGGATCTTGGCGCGAATGCCACCCCAGTGTGTGGAGGCGTCGCCGGTAAGGAACTCGAGCTCGTCGAGAGCGCTCTGGACGGCCTCGTCGATGCGCGATTCGGGGAGTTCGCCACCGTCGAGAGCAAGGCCGCTCCAGACAGCCAGGACTGGAGGATGATATTAGCATTTGCATGTTTTCCGAAGAGGAGGGTGAAAACTCACTAGGCTCTACGTCAAGATCCTCACACCATTGCATGTATTCGACCAAACCGAGGCCAGCAGTTGTAGGATAAGTCCAGACACCAGCGTGGCCGGGGCGGTCCTTGAGATCTCCGATCGTTTCGTTCCACTTCCACCAAGTTGGGAGGGTGTTGCCCTCAAGCATGTTGCCGCCAGGGAAGCGAAGGAATTTCTGTCACAAATCTTAGATAGTATTCGCGGTTGAAGAGGTATCGGAAAGCATCTTACCGGCTTCATTGCCGCCAAAGCCTCCATTAGATCGACCCTCAACCCATTCGGCCTGTTCTTGTATGTCGGCGGGAACAGACTGATAAGGTTGAAGTCAAGCGAGCCACCACGGACGCCTGCAGCATCAAAGGTGATGGCGAACGTGTTGTTGCTGTTTGATGCCGCCTTTCTAGGAATCAAGTTGAAGTCATACTTGACCCATTCATTGCCGGCCTTCTTGTCCTTCTTGACAGGCACCTCGGTAGTCCCGAATACCTCGCCATTCAGAGCACTCTGAAGCGAAGCTGTGAAGGATTTTCCTTGGTAGTCGCCCTTGACGTAGAACGACCCAGTGTACTTTTGCCTTTTGACGTCCATGCCCCAGTATCCGTCATTGGCGAACCCGACCTTCTTCTTTGATGAGGATGGAGCCACCACGTTCATAGAGTAAGGGAGGGCTGAAGAGAGGGGCTTAGGAAGCTTCTTCAAGCTGAGTTTGGCACCATTGACGGGTGACCAGCCATCAAGAGTAACTGGGTAACGGGACTCGTCGCCGGACTGGAAGGCACGGTTGCGGATAAGCTCGGCATAGATGCCGCCATCGCCGGAGTTGTTGATGTCCTGTATGTTTTGTGAGTGAGACTGTCTAAAGCCGGCGGGAAAACGGGAAGGGCAGAAAAACATACCTCGTGCATGATTCCATACATAATCGGCGAAGAAACATTTCCGCCATTGGGGCGGACGATGAGATCAACGCGCTTGTCGGCAGCACATGGTTGAAGGGATGTCAGTGCCAGGAGAGCTGCCCATAGGCCAGCATTTAGGTGAAGATGCACCATGTTGACGATGTCTCGAGAACCACGATACTAGCCTCCGAGACACTACTCTCTCATCTGGGTTCGTTCATGGTGTATATACTCGGAGGCATTGGGTCACAGCTGGTCTCGTTCTTCAACTGCCGATACCGAACGTCTGGGCAGATCCATTCTTGAGCATCATACGGTCCTGATGATGGCCTTGGCCATGTCCGTATTGCGGTGCCATGACGAACAAGCCGCCAAAATCATATGTTCTAGTCGACCGGAGCTTGGTGACGAGATGCTCGATGATGGAGGATCATCGCTTAGGGTCCTTCCCCGCCCTTCACCGCGCTCTTTGACTCTCCAACTTCCTGTAACGTATAAGCGCCAAGCGACTATTCGTGGATAAAGGCCGGTTATACGTAAAACCGGTGACTACCTCGTTGATTTAAGGTTGCAATGGCACGGTCTGCAGGTACCGCTACCGGATAATATACGTAGCTGAGTTAACACCCCGGTGATGGGTTGGGGTGTCGATATGCGCCCCAATGGGAGCCATTGACGTTCGACTAACAACCTCGGGAACCATCTCCGAGATGTTATTTATGCCTCCCAAGAACACAGAGATGGTCGACAGGGATTGGAGAGGGGGTGGTCATATGAATAACCTCAGGTATATGTTCCCGCCTACCCGGTTTTGTCGACATCTACTCACGCTTGTACATGGTCTGCTCTTCGCTAAGAGCCAAGCATATCCATTGCCACGATGAACGAATGCTTTCTAGAGGTGTTTGAAGACCTGACTGGTCCCCAGGCAGTGGTGTATCCCCTAACAACCTTTTTGAAAGGGAGACCACAAACAACCCACAAAGGAAGTGTCGCATATACTAAAGACTTCTTTATGCAACCACTTTGTAGGGAATCATAACGGAGGGTGCCATGGCGATGTGTTCGAACGCCTTGGGCTCACGCTTCACTGGCGGCGCGTCCTAAACGAAGCATCATGGTAGTTTCTGTTGCTCACGCGTTGAATATCAGGAATGGGTAACGTATGTTTGACTAGTGTCAGTCGTGAAGTAAAGACAAGCAGTCGAGACTACAGTTGGCTCATCGTAACGGGACTCAGGCGGTCAGACCCCGAGGGTATTGTCCATAAAGGTGACGGCCCTGTCCTAGTAAGGATATCCTTGATGTCTCGTGTGTGGTCGCGGAGTGTAGGCGTCATTGTCTCGGTCACGAGCAGATAGCGACGAAGTGCACGGCGGGATGGTTCGTGGTTGAGGCCCGAGCTGATGAAATATCGGCGGCAAATTGAATGTCAATGAGAAGTGAAAGTGAGAAGTGTCCCGTGAATGACACAGAGACAAGAGCTGCCGAACACCAAGAGGCGGCACGGAAGCTAAACAGACAGTGCTACAAGTGGATGACTAATCGGAACACCCCGCATCCCACGAAGTAGAAGTAGATCTGCAGATCTGACAGCGCTGCAGGTAGTGGCGGCCCCGTCCATCCGTAGAGGTACCCGTGGACTCCAGCGAACTTCGATTCTCAGCTTCAACTTTCCATTTCGGGTTCGCAGCTGGACACTCCTCGTCATCAGCACCACCACGCGCCGTTGCCGCCTGAGGGAAGGAAGAGGGCATCTTGCTCACCCTAGGATCTTTGTTTCTTGATTGTGACTACCATCCGCCGGCTCCTAATACGATATCCGAACGAGTTCTTCAAAATGAGTTTAATCGCCAAGGTGGTCACCATGATGTGGTTCAAGGTCGAGGTATGTTTTCCACTCTTCCTCCCAACACCTGCCCTTCCATCATCCACGATCCTAACAAACACCTTCTCTGCTCTAGGACGCCCTTGTCGCCAAAGTCCTTCAAATGCCAGGTTTTCACCACGGCGTCCGCAAGATCCATCGCACCGTCGAAGAGTTCCGCCATGGCCGCGATCCCAACGAACCGCTGCGCGAGGGCGAGGCTACCGAGGACCCGAATCTGCAGAAGCCACAAGTCCAAACCTTCGTCAAGTTCTTCGTTGACGAAATACGCAATCAGGCACGGGGAACGCCAACCGACATCGACAATCAACCACTACCTCCCAAGAAGTGAACGTGATCCTGTCTGTTAGAACCCCTACAAACCGGACGCTTCCCACCTATCCGGTCGGCACATACTGTTTTTCATGTACGAAATATCGATAGACCAAGAGAGAGTACGGGTGATGCTCGAGGATTCAGGGAAAAGGGACAAAAAGGATGATACATGCGCAAAAGGCGAACATGATGGATCTCTGACGATTCACTCGGGGCCTGGCGCCACCCAAACCATCTAGGACCTAGTACATCTAGGCGAGCCGGGTCGATGAGACCATATCATTCAAGCCGCGATGGAGAGAAGTGGTTCAAGACATGCGTCCTGAGCATATCTGACTGAAGTGATGATGCGATCCATCGGACGCGAGCTGGGAGGAAGCATGCTGATGGTACTGGATCGGAGGATTTCGCCACATCCGACCAAGGTTCATGATTACGAGACACGCAACCGACAATATTATACACCCCCTTCTTTGTCCGGGTGGTTGGAGCATTGTCGTGGTTTCACCAAGTCGCCTGTGGCACGCCTGGTTGGATATACAGTGCCGCCAGTCTTGTTGAGAAAACAGCTGTATTGCCGTTTGTTCACGAATCTACAAGTCATTACGACCAATGTCTTTGCCTCGGAGGTTATTCAGATGTGCATATTGTCCCCGTTCGAAGATCCGGAGTAGAACCCGTATGTTCAACGCCACGAGCTTCCTATCTCAACACGGCCGGATTTCATGGTGCACCTCTAAAGCGGGGAAAAGAGACGAATCATCGGTTTGACCAGCTCTTAGAAATTGGCACTTCTTGTTAACAAGGAACCTTGTGCCAGAACAACGTGCCCTTTGCTTGGTTGCTCAGAGCCTGGGGTACCTAAGTATCCAGTTCGTCGACTTGTGACATTTTCACTGATTCTGATGCATGTTAGACGGGCCGTATGCCTCTCAACTAGTGGCATGTACTCGGTGCGGAATGTTTTGACACTTCACTCTCATGGGGCTGAACAGCTGCCCATGGGGTCCTATCAAATGGTACCTATGTTGACATGTTTCATGGAACTTGACATCCAGATGAGGTACCCACTTGGACCAGAGCGTCAAGTTGTGACGCGGGGTGAAGTGACTCTCTACTCGCCATGTACCGCCTTTCGAGAGGACTTCCAACATAGACAGTCGCGCCGAGGAATGATCGAGAATCATAATCTGAAAAGGCAAGTCACGAAAGACATGACTCTTCACTGGCCATGTACTGACATCGGATGAAAAAAACGAGACCACGACCCAGTAAACAATGGCGCGGCTCTTCACTCTTCCCATTTGCCAAATCACGCTGGCCCGGCAACGCGACCGTTGACTACAAAAACAACGCGAGTCCGCGGTTCTCCCCGATCAAGGTTTTCCTCCTCGACCTAAACCACAACAACCACACTCTCGGGTATATCATGGAAGTCAAACCAACCCCAAGGTATCTCTGTCTCATCTCTCATCATATTCTCGACCTACTAGATCAGTGTCTACAGGTCTACCTGCACCAAGCATCAGCTTCACCGGATGCACTTGTCGCTCTTCACCTCAACGTCAACGAAGCAACTACGCCTTTCAGGAGCACAAAAAGCGTGCGAAGTGAAGTCATCACGAAGTCCGCCCCTCTTTGAGCCTTTTCACCCTGATCGCACTGTGCTACGACAACTCACGTCGGCACATTAGCCCTTGCTTCTCTCTGAACAGAACAAACCAAGGGTTGCTTCCTCCTTTTTCTCTCGTGGAGCACTGAACGTTGCTTTCCATCCGATCAATGATGGGGTACAGGAAGGAAGCGGATTCGTGGAAGGGGACGGATTCCTACCGACCGGGGCAGCGCCGGAACAGCTACGGCCGTGACTCACCTCGCCATGCAGATGGTAGATCTCAATCCAGACATCGACGTAGATCGAACTCTCAGCAACACGCCACTTCCAGAGGTCCTGTGGCAAGTCACTCATGGAATCACAGTGGGCGAAACTTCACTGCTCCTGGATGGAGTTCCCCCCAGCATGATGCGTCTCGATACGGAGATCAACGCGCTGAAGGACACTCTTCCGGAGCGTTAGGAGAAATCACCAACCAGTCGCCCCTCCAAGCCCTGTGACCACACCTGGTCGCAGTAGGTCGCGTGATGAAGATGAAGATTCACTCTTCGTCGGCGATGGTCCGCGTCTTGGGTATATCGAAAACTACGGTGAGTCCGAGCCCAAACCCTTTTCCCCGTCCGCTACTGACAACAAGGCAAGCGGAAAACCAGAGTGAACAGTCGGAGTTTCCAGAGGCTTTTCACCGACGTCCAGAGCCAATTGCAGCCTCGAAAAAAGCTCACGGCTTCTACCACCCGGCCATGGCAAAGCCCACTCTAAAGCCCTTGCCGGCCAAACCAATTGCAGCTCAGACCGGAGAAAATATTCTCAAACCTCGGTACATCTCGACAACCAATATCCCGATCGAGCCACCCACGACTCAGCCACCAAAGACTGCTTCGAAGAAGCCGGTTTCCCCCAAGACTGCTGTGTCTATGCAGGTTGCCGCTCTCGCAAAAAAAGCTGCTCTCTCGAGGGCTGCTCCTTCACCCAAGGCTGCTGCTCCCTTGAAGGTTGTTCCCCCACCGATGTCTGGCACCGGTCTGCCTCCCAAGCCCCCCGTTCCCATCAATCGGTTCCCAGAAGAGGACTCTAACCGCTCTGCCCCTCGAGTCCCCGGCACTTCGGTTGTGAAACCGGAGTCAAGCCCCCCTTTTCCTCATACCTTCTCGATCAGAATGGCCACTTCAGGAGACGACAAACCCGAAAACAAGGAGCCACAGCAGAGTATCAAAACCCCTACTCTACCCTTGATCACCAACCTCCGCCCTCGCGACGAGCCTCAGCCCGAGAACAAATCCGACCCCAAGCCCGACCAAGCGTCAACTCGCTCCACCCAGAAACGTAAAAGAGGCGACACCTCTTCCGCGGCCGAGCTCAAGATAATCTGGGCCCTGTGCTTCGAGCATCGACAGGCCCACGATGTGTCCCGCCTCGGTCACTTCGCACTTCCCATCCCGTCACATTCACTTCACCTCGTCTCTCCCGTGCAGCTTGATCGAGCCAAGCGCTACGTCATTCCGGACATCATCCGTTTCGAGGTGACGCCGCTGCAGCTCGACGGTGAGGCCTCACCTATAGATCCAGTCAGAGCGGAACTGTTTGCCTTGGATCTTGCTCAACATGCTACTCCCGCATACTACAAACTCCAACTACGCCCTTCCACGAACCAAACAGACGGTCTCGCCTGGCCGGTCTTGCGATCCATGCAAATCGCCTGGGAACTGACGGCGCGCTGGTACAAGGAGGTCATCGTTGATGGGGGATGGGCTGAGCTGGGCCGTATGGATCGCGAGGACACGGTCATGCCTGATGCCATGGACATGGATGGTGACGAGAACGAGAACTCCAAGAACTCCAAGAACGACAAGACTACCTCGCATCACGACAAGATCACCGGTATGGGGCTCGGTGACTTCGTCGCCAGCGAGCTGAAGAAGACTGTCACCAAGACGAAGCATCGTCGTGACGAACCCAAGGGCTCTGTGGATATCGACGATGAGATATCAAGCTGGTTGAGCCATCTTTGGAGGGAGCAGAACTAAGCGCACAGGGCTTTCACGCGGTGATCATAGCTGCGAGGTGCAGCTGTCTCTTTTTTTTTTTTTTTTTTTGGCATATCACCCGAACACAAGGGTTTGTGCTGTCTCATTGGCATGCCTTTCTTGTCTACCTTGGTACTGTGTTTTCAAACAGTACGACTTTACGACATTCGCGGCTTTCACCAATTTCTGTTGTTTTATTGCTTTCAATAGCTTGCTTTTTCTTTTACAGCTATGAAGTGGTCGGTTCTAGGAACCGGCTTCTTCTTTTTCGGACAAATGCTTTCATTGTTGGCGTTGGTTTAGGTTCACTTCGCTACCTACCTCTACCACTACATACCTTACAGAGCAAGTGACCGTACGTATTTACGAAGTGGTCTGTCAATCAGCTCTACTAGGTTCTCCGGTACAAAGGTTTGAACAAGTTCCGGACAAGGTTTCGAACAAAGGTGTTCCTTTTAAGGTTCACGTTGCTACCCTCTAGAGCTATTCTACGGAGCAAGGAGCCAGACTGTGCTGGAAATACCAGAAGGGACATGTACAGAACTAGAACAAGAACACATAAAATTGATCGCCCACCTTTTCTTTCTTCGGCACAGACATGGTTTCAGAGGGCAGAGTTTTTTATCGAGTTCGCTTCTCATTAGGTGCTATAGCTTAGGCACACACATTTAGTGATGAATCTCCTCTCTCTTTTTACTTCGCACTCTCTTCTTCTTTCCGGTGGTGATGTTGTGTGGTGATACTTCACTTCCTACCATAGTGGGAATAAACCGACTAATACCTACCTTAGCTAAGGAGCACACCGTGGGGTAACAAAATCAGGTTACGGTGTCATCCATCATACTGTAGTCTGCAACAAAACAAGGGGCAGTCTCCATTCATTCAGTGTCTGTCCTCCAAAGAATCTTCAAAGTCTACCTTAACCAACACCCACCCCATCCATCACACACACAAGCAGTGAACCCCCTTCCTCCCTTACATTAATTACATCGGCATATCCATACCAGGAAGCTTCGTAAGCCACCCATCATAATCCTCCTTGGCCAACTTCCTAACCGCGCACTTCCTCGCATCCTCAATCTTCTGCGTCTTGAGCGTAGCGCACTTGGCGCCCATGCAACCCGCTGTATCCATGGCCTTCTGGAGGGAATCGCCCTTCCACCCGAAAACGTAATCGGCGTGCTGGCCCAGCCCCGTGGGGTCGCCGGTGCTGAGCACGAACGGCTGCGATCCGTCGGCCGGCCACTCGGCCTTGTTGTTGAACTTGATGGTGTCCCAGACGACCTCGTACATGAGCTGCGGGATGCGGACGGGGTGCGTGGAGGGGCAGGAGCCGCCGAGGCTGAGGAAGGTGGCGGGGCCGGAGGTCGGGTAGGCGACGTGGTCTTGGTGGTTGGGGGAGTCGAGGTTTTTGCCGTCCCAGCATCTGTTGTTTCAAATTGAGGGTGGGTGTCAGTATGCATATGTATCATGAAGATGAGATGGGATGATTTATTTCGGAGTGAACAAAAGCACTCACGTTGGGAAGTGGATGTTGGATCGGATACCGCCCGGGCAGGGCTTGTTGGGAAGAGCCTCGGTGTCCACCTTGTCGTCCTGGCACGGAGCGCCCGTGTCGCCGCCAAAGTTGGGGCCGGTGTAGCAGCGGTAACAGTTTTGTCTCTTCAACTTGGTGTTGGGCCTCGAGCGCATGTTGGGGTCGCCGACGAGCATGCGGAATCCCTGTTATTTGGTGCCGTGGGCATCTGATTAGCCGGAAACTCGGAGTCATATTTACCGCCAAAGCACGAAGCACGACTTCAAGCAGCAGAGATTCGAGATTCGAGAGATTAGAACATAACTCACCGGCTTAAAAGCCGTAACCTTCCCCGGATCAGCCGACACATAATACACTAACACGCCGCCGTTAATCTGGGTGCTAAACTGGTCGCTGAACTGCAGCGCTGCGCCGCCCTGCGGCACGCGTTTGTAGGTCCCATTGCGTGCCTTGAAGTACAGGTTGGCGGTCCAGTAGTTCGAGAAGTCCTCGGAGAACTGGCAGGTGGTGCATGACGCGAGCTCGGAAACGTCCGTGTGCGGCATCGACACGTTGAACCCGTTGCCGCCCACGATCTGGTGCACGTGCGGGGACGGGATCTGGCCCGGGTTGACGAGCGGGTCGACGCGGTCGATGACCACCTGCGCGCACCCGAAGCGGAGCATGGTCACGCGGTTGCCGCCGCCGAAACCTTGGGGTAAGGCTTCGGCGCCCGCGAAGAGGGCCAGGAGGGTGGTCCAGAACATGTTGGGTGAAAGAGGGGAAGATCCGAGGAGGTGGATGAAGGATCGAGGTGTTACTTTTCGGGGAGTAGCTGTTCAAAAGAGGCCTAAAGCCAAGGACGGACGGTGAAGAACGAACTTGGGTATGTCCGCCGAGTTTGAGCTGAACTGAAAAGGGGCAACGGTCGAAAAGAAGGGGGCGAGTGTCCTAGGACCATGGCGTTGGGTTTATAAGTCTTGAACAGATGCACAGCTTTTCGGGCCTCGGATCTTGAGCCGCTCATGTTGCTCTGCCGTGGCTTGCAACTGCCGTCTTTTTTTCCACCAAAGAGAAATGCCGAGTGTCATGGGGGTTCAATCCGGGATATTGTGTCAATATCAACCTGTCACACCCTTAAGGTTCTAATTCGGCATGTTAGCCTATGAGAGACGTCGAGTAGCATTGGGCGGATAGGCTAGATCCGGGGTACATGGTATGTGGGGGACCATGTTTGTGGCCTGGGTAATATCAAATGGCATATGTTGACGACAAGGCCAATCTATCGGTCGGCCTCTTGGGCAAGGCAAAAAGCGCCGTGGGCTTGGGGGTGGGTTGTCAAACACTCAGATGGATAAAAGGGGCGGCAAATTCCTGACTGGATGATGTTGGATGAAGGAGGGATGGGTTGGTTGGGAGCATGAGTGACAGGGAAAAAACCTGGGATGGGTATTATGCAAGTTGATTCTAGACTTCATGATGGTGACCCAAAACAGGGAAAGGGGAAGGGGTTCTTTAAGTGGTGGCGTTTTTCATCGTTGTCGTCGTCGTCGTCGTCGTCGTGATACATGATATTAGGCATGTTCCGGCCAACCGAGATGCCAAGCTTGTTGTTGATGACCATCCACCATCTTCTCAGTCTCAGAACATCTGATTGACTGCCAAGCATAGATAGAAGCACGAAGAAGATGCAAGACATGATGCAGGCAGCAAGGATGAAGGGGTATTGCAAGTTGGTTGGTAGAGAGGACGCCCAGTGCCATAAAACTGTATCCGGATTGATCTCAAAGTCGAGAGGCAACCATCACCTGGATAATTACCGAGTCCACCATCCATGCTACTCTTTCTATCGTTTAAACGCCACTGTGATAATAAAACCTACAAAGTAAGAGACAAGTCGTACACGTCACAGCAGAAGAACAGGCTCAAGTGAGCCTGACATCCTTTGTGAAATGTGGCTATCATCGGAAGATGTGTGACCCCACAGATGGTCGAAGTGGTCGCAAAAGTAAACCGAACATAGGTAGAAAGTCCAATCCGTCTCGCTTTGGCCACGAAAGGCCATCGAAAGACGGTTATAGGGCTCGCACATCATAGGAAATACATTGGACAGCATCCTCCAAGGATCCTTCCACCTTGATAATCACCTACGAGTTAGATTTAAAGACATGATAAAGACGCTTGAAAATGTAATTTACTGGCCATAACACGTTCAGCTTATTCTTACGACCATTTGGACGGTGTAGGGATGACTTCAAGATAGAGATTTCCCCCCTAGGTACCTAGACGTACCCATTGCCAGAACGCGTTCGAGAGTTCTTGGCCGCAGTCGTCGTTTTGAGCTGACAGAGGAGTCCTCACATGAGCCCGAGCAGACTCAACCTGCTTCCATCTCTCTGTTCGTGATCTTAACAAACATGTCTTTGTGAAAGACTAAACTTTGAGGTCTCGTTTTCATCGGCATCTCCGGGTTGACCACGGTGAAGTCAAAGCGGACAAAAAGCTACACAAAAGGAGGGGAAATAGTCAGTGTACGTGATCATTCACTCCCAAGGTCTTTCCCTCTTTCTTCATCACCAATCCAGGGAAAGGGCAAGATACTCACCTCGACAACCACCTTCCCCAACTATACATACGCAAACCGCTTCCCCAAGCCCTCCCAGCGAGTGCCCGACCTAAACACCAGACCCTCCACTGTAGTAATCCACCATCCATCAGGCCACTAGCCTTGGTTCACAACATCGATTCAAAATATCAAAGGTCTTAGAAATTGCCATGTAAACTAGACTGCTGCCAGAGGCAGATTTAAAACTGAAGTACTACTTCCAGGGCCGCACTAGACGCCCCCTAACAGTAAGTACACTGCATGGAGCGTACGTGATATTGTTTCAACCTTTGGGGAATCCACTTGAGCGGAGCGAGGATCGTCTGTCGGCCAGATGTCCACTATTCTACTCCGCGTCAATGTACCAGATTTATATCCCTTTTCATGCTCACAGTTCGAGTTTCATCACTGCAGGTCATGAAAGACTCATCCATAATACCAAACAGGACAGTAATCTCGAACAGGTTGCGGTACTGCATCGATCCTCCTCTTCCTCCACCCTGTCAAGTCCCTTTCATCCTTTTGACCCATTTCGCCAACTCCTCTTGTCTGCTCAGGAATGATTCGGCGATAGTCATCCTCGCCTCGTTAAGTCTCGGCAGACAGCCTTTCTTGTACTGTGCGTCCAACGCCATGAACTTGTCCCCGAACTCTTCTGATGCTGTACGAGGCTTGAGAGAGATGTAGTCCAGCGATTCATCGATCTCGCTCATGCTCTGGCATACCGAGCGAACAAACCTCGGGACGTATTCAAGCGCGGAATCGGGCATTAGTCCAAGGTGGGAAGTGTTCAGCGCATATCGTGCCTCTACCACGTACCCGTGGACGTTACCGTAGCCCTCCTCATCGGGGTACTTGACGAGGTCGTGAGAAGTGCAGCTTATGAAGAGTTCGTTGCCTTGGCCACAAGCAAATCCTCGAAACTTGCAGATCGGATAGCAACAAGGTTCGAGATATGAAAAGGTGAACCTCGGCGCCCTCTTGTACTGGTTGATGATTTTGCGCTTTTGCTCCGCAATCGTGGAATTGTATGCCCTCGCAATGGAGAGTTCCAGGGCACGCTTTTCGTCATCCGTTGCAGGCGTCGTTGAAGAGAACTGGCTGAGATCAACGCCGTTGTTCTTGAGAAGCGCCCGCATCATGTAGACCTGGTGAGTGACTGTAAACTCGGGACGTTCGTCATCGTTGAGGTATATTATGGGGGCGGGGAAACCTGATGACTTTGCATTCAGCGATGCGTTCTATCTTTTGTGTCCATGCTAAGTCTGCTCTGTCTCTGTTACTGATGGGTTTTGGTTTGGAAATGCGACCGCTGCTGTTGTCGGCGGAACCAGAGCCGGAAGCTGAGCCGGAGGCTTGCCTGCCTCGGACTCCCGAACCGGATGGCATCTTGCTATGCTGTTTCCTCGATCCGATGGGGAAGGGCGTTGAGTGGTTCGAGTAATGCCTCTATTTACGAATCGTGCTGGCTGTGGAAGGGCGCAAACAGAAAATCCGCTTGGTTTTGTTGTTGTGGTAATGGAAGAGGAGAACAGAAACCAGGGCAGTCAAGAAATACTTGCTCCCGGAAAATAGTCGACAAGTTAGAAGTCTGCTAACAGAAACACACATCATCTCCTCCCAAATCTGTTAGTGAGCCGTCAGGGCACGGACGCTGAACCCATTGGATAAACCAAATGGGCTACATAAGACGGAGAGCGGGAGGGGTTTGTTGTTTACGCATGTCCGATATCCTGAGTCTGATGATTGGATATGGTGCTTTCGCAGGTGAGGAAAATGGATGTTAGGACATGAATACACCAATCGGAAAAGGCCTCATGGGGTGCCTCCCAGCTGCAATATCAATGCCTTCTTCCTTTGCAAATTCCTTCCTTTTTTGACTGGTGACCTCTTCCCATATCGAGTAGCTCTTTCCGTGTAAAGGGTAGGTACCTGATGATCCCTTCCTTGGTGTAGTAGGGCCTCGTTCCTTCTCACACTGCTTCCTTCTTTGACTGGTGCTTAGGTCTTCTCCAAATGAGGGGGCTCTTTCTATGTTTTGTGATGTTTCCTTTCTTTTCAATGTACCCGGTCATTGCTCTCTGTGTCCAGAATCTTCAAGGAAGATGTCCTTGCCGTCATGTTGCTTGACTCCTCCCAACCAAACAATGCTTCTCTCTACATTCTTCCCTCGAAATTGCTCAGATTCCCAGCCCATCATCGCCGCCTATCAAACCGCCAACACTGGGAGTTGTCACCCTTTTCATTTATTACAAACAAATTTACAAGTACAAGTCAAACCCACGTAGTAATTAGCAACGAATGTCTTGCAGCGAAGTGGGTGTTGGTACTTCATGTTGATGCGTTACGAGTCGCATGTTGCAGAAGCCATGGTGTTGATGCATGTAGCTGGTGTCACGGGGATAACCCAAGGATGACTGTAAGAAAAATGATGACATCGTGATACCCAAGACCAGAGAGCCTGATTGAGTCTGGAAAGAAACTAAACCAGCCAGAGGACTGAAGAAATTTGGATTATATACCTGTAGACAACCTCCATCCCCCTCCCAAGTCTCGGTCCGTCATCTATCTACCGGTTGGTGACAGCTTCCCTCCTTCCAGTTGATGACTGCCTCTTTCCCGAACCAGGTGGTGCCTTCTGTGTACAACGTGATTTCTCCCTTTTGTATGACTGCTGGGAGCTATAAGGGAGAAGGAGATGGCAGTGTGAAGCAGTGAAAAAGGCTGATTAACTGAACTGGAAATCATTGGTAATTGCATGCTGATATACTGCCCTCTCCTAGATTCCTCCGGGTAAAATACATGTGTTCTTCCTCCAGCCACTCTTCCCGTCGCAGATGCTCAGACACCCAACCCATCTCCACCTACCAATATGCCAACTCCCCATCAGCAGCACCATGCCCATCAATGACAAAAGCCACATCATCCTCCGACTTGTCCCGGAAGTCATCCGCCGTGTGAAGCACAACACCTGCATGAAGCAGCTTCGAAAGGGGCTCCTGTTCCTGAACCAGCTCCTTCAACTCAAAGAACTTGTCTCTCCACACACCACCGTCCTCCGTCGCAAGGCGGTAGAGATCGTCCCTGCTGCAGCTCCCAAACACCTGCAGGAAGCTGTTCTCCAAATTCCTCCACAGCTTCCTGTCGGCCTTGATATGTCGCTTAACGGGTGTTTCCGTCTCGGTAAGCAGACAGTGAAAGATCTTGTACATGGTGTCCAAGGCGAGGAACTTGGCCTCGTACGACGGCGATCCGTTTCCGTTGAGGTTTGAGGGGTCCACAGTTGAGGCAACACTGCGGAGAATGTCGTGCACCCTACCGGCGGCAATCTCGGGGACGCCAATCGCTGTCTGGCCTGGCAGCCACGGGGAGTTGAGATCGCAACCGGCGTTCAGGTCCTGGCGGGCTTGGGCTAGCAAAGCTCGGTAACCGGCTTCGTCAACGGTGCCGTCATTGTTGTTGCCTCCCTCCGGAACGGCACAACCCAACGCATGCGCGGGAACGGGGCCGACCAGGTCGCAGAACATGTCCGGGTCCCAGGTCTCGTCGAACTTGCGGGCGCACCAGCACTCGGCGTCGGCGAAGGTGAAGGGCTTTTGCTGGTTGCGGCGCAGGCTCATGATTTCTCGCTGCTGGTGCTCAATGGTGGCGTTGTAGGCTTTGGCGACGAAGAGGTTCATGGATTCTTCGTGATCGCCGTTTGTGTGGCCGAGTGTCTTCCACAGCTCTGAGAGGCTGGCGTGGTTGTCTTCGAGGAAGCGGTACATCTTGAGGATTTGGTTGTCGGTGAACTTGGTGTTCTTCTGGAGGTCGAGGCGACGGGGGACTTTGATGATGGTGCAGCCATCAATGCTCTCCAGCTGGTGGGTGTGAAAGAGATCGGTGTCTTCGATGCCCTTGGTGTTGGCGGCGAGCACGGCCTGAGGTTCGTAGACGGAAGAGAAAGCCATGGTGAGTGATGTTTATGGTGTTTGGCTGCTGAGTGGCTAAGATGTCAGGACAATGAAAAAGAGGTTTGAAGTGAAGTGCTTGCTGTCTTGAATGCTTGCTGTCTTGAATGCTTGCTGTCTTGAATGCTTGCTGTCTTGAATGCTTGTTGTCCTGTTGAGTGCTTGATTGATGTCTTGTTCTGGAATTTTCTCGAATGCGTTTGACTGATCGCCTATTTGTATCCGAGATCTGTCCTACTTGGTCGATAACAAATGGACCGATGACACCAATCCAATCCTGAGATTGTGAAAATATCATCATAATGGCCCGTTGCGGGAACTTCAATAGCTTTGCTCCTACAGCGAGCGGCTAAAGGAGAAGTGCCAGCACCATTACCAGCAATCCTGTAATGAATCCCCCCCTATCGTGTTGCAGTACGGCTCCCATATTGCAGTTGGGGCGGTTCTCCCAAAGACCCTTTGAGTCCCTGCGTTGAGTTCAATTGACATTGTGACGTGTGCGTGATGGGAAGAGGGAGTAATTATGAGTTTGGTGGTTGTTCTGGGGCTGCGGTGGCGGTAGTACTGAAATATGGTGACAAAGGAGAAAAACGCCAAAAGGGGGGGGAGTCTTGGGGAAATGGGATGTCGTGTGCAGTAGAGCAAGCTGGTATAACCGTGACAGGCGTGCCTGACATATGCAGTAGCCGAGATGTAGACTAGGTAGGTATTACAAATGAAAAGCGCTGGGAGGAGATTTATGTAGAGTTTACCCACATTGAGTGCCTGGAACTTGTATCATCTGTCATGGTGCACATGCATGAAAAGAAAAAAGGGGGAGAGCGGCCGAGCAAGCGGCACCGGCGTACATAATGCGTCCTCCTGCGATGTTGCACTTACCAAATTGAAGCCAGACGAGTGCAGAAGACAGAAACTCAATTACCCCTAAATGACCAAAATGTTACGCATAACTAGTGCAGCTCCCTCATACTCCAGGTCGTTCACCCAAAGTCACCAACTCATCCAGACCTCAAACCCCTTTCCCAAGCATCTTTGACGGCTTTTAGTATCTAATCTTACAGCCATTACGTCCAGCTCTTTCTTTCCTTTTGATATCCAAGCAATATCGTTCACCAGTCCTACCATTGTCCTCACCCAGTCCCTGTCCACCTGGATTTCTGAAGAACTCAGCCCCTTATCTTCTACTCCCACTTCTGCCCGGACTTCCATCACCACCACTCTTCAGCGGGGCGCACCCAACAGATTCGGCACCGGCACCGCCTCTCGCCTCCCTACCACAAACGTATAAGCAACATCGGTGCAATCCGGACAGACCTCTACCCCCGGCGTTCTAGCTTGGTGCCTATAAGTCATTGTACTCGTCGTTCTCGTCCCCCGCTCCGGGGGCGGCCGGTTGTCTCTAACTCTCACGTGCAAGCAGGCAGGGTTCGTGCACTGCAAGGGGTGCTGCATCTCGTTGTTGTTTCGGTGGCAGAAACAGCACACCCAGTCGAAGGAATGGATTGGCATCTGAGAGGCCGCTGTTCCCGCTGCTTCGTCCCTCACCCGGACGACGTGGTGCGTGCCGGGACCTTGGGGGCCGAGGTCGGAGGCAGCTGGTACAGGTACAGCGACGCAGGAGGAACTTGGTTGTAGCGGTTGTTGATCTTCTGGTCTTGATCGAAACGCCCAGCGGTTACGTGGGACAGAGGTAGGTGGCTCCCGTCCTCGTTGTTGTTGTTGTGATTGGACTGCACGATGGGATGGTTGTTGTGCTAGGTATTGTTGCACTGCCTGTGCGGCTGGAATCGAGCCCCCAAGATGGCGAGGTACGGAGGAAAGTGCTTCCACTGGTTTCGGCGGTGGTGGTGCGCGAGCTGCCCCTCGTGGTGGTTGTGGCGGTGCGGACGGCCCTCCTGATATAGAGAGTTTTTTAGCCGACTCCCAGAGATCACCAGCTTTACTGGTAGACGGTAGCAATGACATTGGTGGCAGCGCTGGAGGAGGAGGAGGAGGAGCAACCGAGAAAGTCGGCTCTTTAGGATTGGGAGGTCTTGCAAATGGACTGAACCTGTGACTCCTTTTCTCTTTGCCTTTGGCGGCTTTGCCTATGGCGCCGGGAGGAGGAAGAAGAGGAGGAGGTTGATTCTTTGAGATAAAGCAACCCACGTTCACCTGTGAACCAAACGAATTGTATTGGATGAATCTGGAGTCCCCTTTGTCTTTGGCAGGAGGTTGAGGTTGCGAGGCTCTGCCACTGCCACCGGCACTCGAACTGGGGCCAGGCGAAGACTGCGGCGGCGGTGAGGGTTTGGCGGGAGCCTTTCCGGTTTTCTTCGAGGGCTTGCTTTCTTTAGGCATGGTTGGATCGTCACTTGTAGGCTTCTTCTGTTGCGTTAGTTGCTTGTTCGGGTTGGAGGAACCACCACCCTCATAGAAACCACTGATGTCATAACCTGAACGACCCATTTTGTTTTGTTGATTGGAGAAGAACTAAGAAGAGAGTATACCTTACCTACTAGGTCAAGTAGGTTGCGCGGTTTGAATCTGAAAGTTCTTCTTGGTTGCTGGTGGTTGCTGTCGCTCGAGTGTCAAGAATAGTTTTCCCTGTGTCCTGGTTGACGATGCTGGGAACTCGGGATTTGTCTGATTTGGAGGTTATCATATCAAACTGTCCTGGGACTTCAAGTGTTTTATACCACGTCAAAGACATGGTCTGGCGCGATATCACATATGTGGTATCTCCATGCTTGCCTCGTATATCCTCTCGTTCGGTGATCCTAACATTGAAAGATTCAGGAGCCCGTCGGACTATCCCAATGCTTTGCCGTGAGCATTGTGTCTGGAATAGCCTCCTTTTGATAGTCAAGAAAGATGAATGGAAATATCATAGAGATCTTTGGGTAATCAGCCGTGATGGGAAAGCCTTGCAAAGAGAACGGATCGCTGTTCTTTCTTTACACGGGAAGGTAACCCGCTGAGCTACCCCTGCACCGGCCCGCAGTCTTTTTGCGGTTGCCATTCAAAAACTCCTGACGTCTTTGTAGGTTATTGTTTTGATGGTGTGTCGCTATTTGGCTCTCGTTTTATCTTGTTGTGCGATAATCGTTGCTGAGTGTCGGGTTGCCATCACCATTCTCTCCTTGTTGGTTGACGCTTGGCATTGGCATGAGGTTCACCATACAACTCCTCGCTTGTCACCTATGGTCCGAAGGTCGCTGACATTTTGAATTAATCGCCTGCTACCTTCTGTCGAGGGGAGAGCGGACTAGGGAAAGGTTGTCGCTTTTAGGTACATACCTACCACCTTCTGCTTGACATACGTAAAACCTAGATGGGGCAAGTCCTGTGAGGGCCGTCTGTGGTTGTAGTTTCCGACATCGCTGGTTCTGTCGTAGACGAACTTCAATCACTACAGGGTCTCTTCATCACAATTTGAGTTCACCTCAATCCTAACGTGGAGAGAATATTCCGAGTGTTCCACGGAAGCGACTGTGTAGAAGGCTGCCATAACAACCAGGGCGGAAAGAGAGCCTTTCCATAATCCTCCTACATACCTATATAAACTGATTTCTGCACAATGGTCTTCTCCCTTTTACATCTCACGCGGAAGCAATTATTTTCAAGTGACAGCTAATAGTCCTCTCATTATCATGTCAAGTCAAAGATCGGTCCCCAATCCTGCAGGCACCCACAGGGCTCATCGGGCCGGATCCAGTCCTCCTGGGCAACGACGGCCCCCTACTCAAGGACAATTTCCAACTGCAGCCCCGTTCTAGACCTGCCCAAGCTGCCCCCGGATACCAAGAAGTGGCACCACAACAACAAGCCATGGCACAATATTCCCAGCAGATGGTACAACAACAGATCCAACAACCTGATCATCAAGCTCTGCAAGTCCAACAACCCCAACAAGGCCAACAAGGACGACAGCCTGGCTATCAACAACCCGCCAACGATAACTATGTCTTTTTTCTGGATGCTGATAATCCGGCACATGATTTTGATCCATAACATTACGGTAAGGAGGAGGATAAGGAGGAGGATAAGGAGGAGGATAAGGAGGAGGATAAGGAGGAGGATAAGGAGGAGGATAAGGAGGAGGATAAGGAGAAGGATAAGAAGGATAAGGATAAGGAGGATAAGGAGAAGGATAAGAAGGATAAGGATAAGGAGGATAAGGAGGAGCCCAAGTGAAACTCCTCTGCTAAGGCTCATAATGCAATAGGTGTAGGGGGGCGGATGGAAAATGAAGGAAGGAAGTGTACTAGTGTAGAGATGTCATTTTACTATGGTAATATTGAAAATGATTGGAGGGTGGGGGATATCCCCCGGTGTTTAATGTTTAAGTTCATACATTGCTGGAGCATAGAGACATACCTTATGGGTACGAGCCAGAAGCAACAGCGAACCGGTGTTTCTGTAATGCGGACAGCCTACAGCGAAGGTGTACCATAGGGCGAAAGATAACAAAACATAACTCATAAACCACGTTTACAGTAATGTACAACTGCGTTCTTTCCGGGCTGAGTTATGCTTCCAGTGTCAACCAGAAGTATCCAAAGTTTCGCCGTAAGACCAAGTGAAGAAAAGTATAATTGAACCCGACGCCTTTGTCCCTAGCATGCTACGCCGAAGAAACGAAGAAAAAAAAAGCCTAATCATTGTTGTTTGGGATCCAGCGGGAACTAAGGAAAGCCCGGCGACCCCAAAGCATCAACATAGGCATCAAACGTAATAGCAGCCGGCTTCGCCCTCTGGATATTCCCCGGAAACGCCGAATCCGTCAGCGCAATATTCCCGCTCCCAAAGTCATGCGAGTAGAGCAGATTCCTGATCCCCGCCGGAAACCCATTATAGCTCACCAACGGGCCCCTGAACCACACGCCCTTGGCATTCTCAATGGCATCATCGGCCGCGTTCGCAAACCGGAAGCAATGCGTGCTTGCCCCGTCCTTGTGGTAGACCACCTTCGGGTGCTCACCATCCCACCGCACATCAGCAGCGGCCTTAATTTGGTACCGCCCGTGCTGGGAGGCGGCGACGTACTTGGCCGTGTTGTTGCCGTCTACCCAGACAGCAATGTGCTCCCAGTCGTGGGTGTGGCCCGTGTCGAGCAGGTACTGGATGGCCACGTCTTTTTCAAAGTAGTAGTCGTAGATGTAAACGCACCAGCCGTTGGCGTTGCAGCGCTGGCGCGAGTAGACGTTGTTGTTGTCTAGGTCGGACAGGGCGCGGCAGTCGGAGGAGGCAGAGACAAAGTTGTGCGGGAGACCTTGGGCGATGGTGCCGTCCGCGCCAATGGCAGGGACGTTGTAGCACCCGTCGGTGTCGAAGTCTAGAGAGGGCTGCCAGCGGAGGTCGTTGGCGGTGGCGGCTTGGGGCAGGGCGGTGGGTGGGTTGACGGCGACTCCCCAGAGGTGAATATCATCCGGGGAGGGTGAGGTGATGATGGTGGTGTTGGTAACGGTGGTGTTCCTGGGCATGGCGAGTGCCGAAGCGCAGGCCGCAAAGAGGAGGGCACGGAATGCCATGTTGACGACGACTTGAACTGGTGGCTTTCTGAGGCGACAAACGAGGGGTGCCCGGCCAAATTCTTCTTCACTTGAAGGTCCGATCAAACGAGACATTCGGTTCATCTTATATGAATATCAATCGACAACACTTGCGGTGCGATAACCGGACAGAGTAAAGATCAGGGTTCGGCAACCTTCCTATTCGGGACCAAGGATACGATCTGACTGCAACCACATGGATACGAGGAACCGTCGGGCGTTGTCTTGCGCGGAGTATCATTCATCATGCTGCCATGGGAACAAATCAGGATTTGCTGTCATGTTGCCATGTTGACTTGGAAGTTGCCTTTGAAAAGGGTGTTTCGAAAAGAGAAGTTGTTCATCTTGGTCGTTGAGCTGATGGTGTTGTCTTCAAATAAGGTGAATTTCCACATGGCAACATGAGGCTCGAATCACGAGCAGGATTGGCGAAAATCAAGCAGATCCATGGTGGTATTGGGTGCATGACCTGCAGACCAAGGGGTCGAATGGGTGACCGAGAATGAAGCCGCAGGTGATGCTGAACCATATTCAGGGGCAGGGTTCCCCGCCCAATGAGGGGCCTTGACGGCGATGCCATGGCCTAGTCACCGTTGACCATTGGCGGATATGATCACCATGTTCGTGCCGGGAAGAGGAGGCCACTCGCCAGTACCCGATGCGACTATTCAAACTTGCTTTCGTAGTTTGTATGTGGAGGTAACCTGTTGGTCGGCCAGTTCGTACCTGTAGGAGCAACGATATGTCTCGGGGTATGGCAGCTGGAAGGATTCAAGGCTGATGACTTTGCAATATCAAACAGATCATCAGGTGGCATCTGTCATGAACTGGTTCGCCGAGGACAGTGGAAAAGCGGCGAGTGACATGTTGCTGTGAGTGTCCATGTTAAGGAGTGGGGACGGATGGTAGCCTTGTAGACAAAAAGGACATGGCAAAAAGAAGGAAGCAGGTAAAGAGATGTTGTTTGAGGTGTCGTTCACACGAGCCCACAGTTTGTCAGCTGTCTGTCAGCCTGCCAGCTGCCCTTGGACAGTTTGGCTCCACCCCCGCATAAACACGTTGCCTGCCGGCAGCTCGGTTCAATGTTCAGACGGGACGACAGCGCCAACCGAACTCCACCAAGCTGATGGATGCCAAGACAAGGAGACATGCCGGATTCTGGAGCTTGGATGAATGGGAATTCTAGAAATCACCATCCCGTCTCATTGACCTTAGTGACCATCTCACTCACTAATTCCCAACTACCTCACCCAGTACATTCAACCATCTCAACGATGCACCCGAACCATGACACCACGCAGCTCCCATGGCCACGGTAACGACGAGAGCATAATCAACAGCAACCTGCACAACAATGTTTACACAAGAGACGCCCTAGGCGGCATCGGCAGCGGCATCAACCCGGGCATCCTCCCCGTCATCCCCTCCGATGGCCAACTTCCGGACAAGGCCCCTTCCAGCAATGCCGCTACGGGCGCATCCGCTGCTGGTGTGAGAGCCCTGGCTTCCCAGGTGTTGGCCTTCTACTTCCGCGCGCCCGCAAAGGCCTTCTTCCGAACAAGAGTCGACTACCTTGCCTATGCGCGTGCCTTACAGCAGCAGCAGACCATGCTGCTCAGTCAGCTTCATGTCCCTTCGCAGGTCCTCACCACCGCCGCGCGAGCTGGCGCCCCGACTGCGGTCTCCCAGATATGGGAATGGGTCAGGATGCGCGCCAGGGCAACCACGCCCGGTGTGATTGCCTCAGCCGTTCAGCACTTCGGCTGGCGCGTTATCCCGGACCAAGTTCTCCCTCCCTTGATGGCCAACGTAACCGTCGGAGCTGTTCTGTATACCAGCTATCTCCATATCCTCGGCCATCTTCACCCGGAAAGCAGACTTGCCAGCAAGCGTGTGTATCCGCCTCCGTCACCTCTCGAGACCTTCACTGCTGGCTTCCTAGCTGGCACTTTGCAGAGCGTGATAGCCGCCCCTCTGGATGCCGTTCAAGCAAGATACGACATTGGCCATTGCACTGGCACGTCAACTACGCCCATGAACGGCAACTCCAATGCTGTCCGACCAAAGAGCATGTGGGTCTTCAGCATTGAAAAGATCAAGGAAATCGGCGTGCGCGGAATCTTTGCCGGTTGGACTGTCTCCTTCCTCAAAGACAGCTTAGGAAGCGCCATCTTCTTCAGCACCTTTGAGTATCTCAAAGCCCAGGGCTACTACAACTTTGTGTCCTGGTACTACGGCTCCTTGAACGAGGAAAACATCATTCTCCTGTCCGAGAAGCGTCCATCCTCCGAGTCAGGCAAGGAAGAGACCGACGACCCCCGCATGCCCGCCATCATCCGTCCGCACTACGCCATCGAACCTGCCTTCCTCTTGCTGGCGGGCTTGGGCGCCTCATTTTTTCAGCAATTTGTGCTGCACCCGCTCACCATCATCCAAGCCGAGCACTGGGAAAGGCTCGAAAAGATCGATGCGCAGGCGCGCAAGCTAAAGGAAATAGACAAGGAAAGACTCCTGTCTCCCGCCGAGGAACGGGCGCGCTTCCGATGGCGCATGATGAAGACATACTACAACGCCTACCAGGAAACGTGGACGTCCTGTGCTGCCGACGCCAAAGGGGCCGGCCTGAACATGCGAAACTGGTTGTACAGAGGGTTCTGGTGGAACACGATCCGCCAGGTGCCGAGCACGAGCGCGGGTCTGATCATCTTTGAGCTGGTCAGGAGAAAGTACGGGTATGGAGGCGAGCAGGTCAGGATCAACCGGGATGGATATGATATCCTCCTTAAATAGGGGTGTGGCATGTGGGAATACAGACTTGGATCTTCAACAGAACTTTGGCTTATATGAGTATGAGTGAGTACTGGTCTCATGTACACGGATTTTAGAACTGGCAGCATGGATAGGCGTTTTTCGGGGGGGTGTTTTTGCGTTAGCAGGCAGGCAGTGCATGGTTGGGTGCTAGACTTCCTTGCTATTTAATGGCCGTTTATCTTATTCTGTTCTGTGTTCCGTGGATCGGTTTAGATTTCAGTGTCTTGTTTACTCGGTTCTCGGTGCTTCCGGTCTGTCTGGATTCCATACTAATCTCACTTATGGGTATAAGGGTACTTGTAGGTACCTGAGACAAGCGTGGGCACTCGACTCTGTCATCTCTGCTGGGTGCGCACGTAGTCAATCAGCCTCACCATCGTCTAAACCATTCCGATGCACCCCAGGTTTTTCGTCTTTCCCTCGGTTATACAACGTTGTATCATGTTGGTCTGACTTCCTATAACAGGTCTCGGCTTTACGCCCGGCATCCCGGAGAACTTTCTTTAAAACAAGATTACACCTCGGATTATGGACCATGGTCATTCGGACTTCGGAGGACGATAGCGAGAAATACCAATTCATCGCTTAGGTGTGGCAAACTGTAAAGTCTTACCGATCCTCTTCTACAGCTGACGTGCCCACACCATCCGCTACGAAATGTTTCGTCTAGGCTACGGCCGCTCCGGGAAGGAATGCGAACCTCGAAAACTATTACGTGAAGGAATGTGCTGGGGACTAAAATAGCCAACGTCCATGATGCCTGGGGTTTTAAGATGACCTGCCACCATCACTCGTCCTCCAACACGGGAGACATCCCCTCAAAGGTCTGTTCTTCTAGCTGTGTTTGTTCAAGGTTAAAACTTAGGCTAGCAAGATATCATTTCTACCATGCAACTTCTTGCCACAGGATTATTAGGATACATCATCCCTTTACTATGTCTTCTCGGCCTATGCCACGCCATTGAGCCCACCACTGACTGCCCCAGCGATGGCGACCCCTGCCTCCAAGGCGTTACCGACCCCTATTGGGGTCCAGCGTTCACAGACAGAACAGCCAATGCCAAAGCAGATTGTTCGAGGTTTCAGGAAGATACCCTCTACGGCCACACAGCGTAAGTTCCAGTCACTCACTCACTCATACCTTGCTTGACACAATCAACCTCAACCTCAATTTGCTCGACAACTAACACGCCTGGATGAATGGAAAAAGAACTGTAACAGGTATTCCACAACCCTACCCAACAGCCGGACCCGGGTCAAAGTCAATGCCTGTATACGTAATAGAGCAGTGCAGGTTAAACGCCGATTACGCAAGTGCTTGTTCATGCTATGGTTTTCCTGCTCAAACTCTGTGGTTGCCCGACGCGGTATGTAGCCCTCCCCTCCCTCCTTCCCTTCCAATTCCCATTTTCAACCATACTCAGGTATCCCTCAGAAGAAAAAAAGGCCGTTCGCTTACTCTTCCGCCTACTACATAGACATTGACCCTAACCGTCCGACCTACCATCACCACCACCACTGCTTTGGAGACTTATTACCCTGAAGACACCATCACCGCAACCACGGAAACCACATCTACAGAGAGCTACTCCCCAAATTACACCCCCTCCACCCCCTTCTCCTACACCCCCTGCGCCTTCGACCCTCTAAACGGGGGGCTCTTCGACCTCCTCGGTCCCAACGGCCAAATCGTCGTTAAAAGCCGTTATGACCCCAACGGAAAAGCCGTCGAGTTTCGTGCCGGTGTCAGTGAAGGCGACGGCAACTCCGACTCCGAAAACTTCCCCGGGTATCGCTTTTATAGCCCGCCTAATGCGACAACTAATGTCTTTGATATAATCATCCCTGCCGGTCCTGCTACTGGTACCGGTACAGGGAAGGAAAAGACAAAGTATCTGGCAGTCTTCAGTTCCGGTGCAGTGGGATTTGTTGATAGGAGGTATGTACCTACCAACTACACATGTGTCCCGTTTGCGAAATTACCTACCTAGAGGTAGTGAGAGCGAGACAAGTGGAAAGGCACGAACGATTTTGCTAACCGGGAACCGATTGACTGTGAAGCTCAAACGGCCAAACCTACGTCCCCTCCCCCTCTTCTTCCACTGATGGTGGTTCGGACGGCGAAGGCGGCCAATACGTAACAACCATCTGGTCCGTTCAATGCAACGGGTTTGCCACGGCTGGCATCCTCGGTGGGATCCGGTTTGATTTTGGGATTAGAGATAATGGGGAGTTGACTGTTGGGTCGTATCGAGCTGGCCGTCGGGGCAGGAGTCAGAGAAAGGATAGACGGCAGAGTCCGCTGCAGAGTGTCCCTGGGGGTTTCTGGATCATACCGAAAGCTGGGGTTGTTCCTCCGGTGGGGGATATACCTTCGGGAGAAGGAGAGGGGGGGGCGTGTATGGAGCCTGAAGAGAAGGTGAAGAAGGTTGAAAGTGCCTCCAGTCAATGTGGCTCGGAAGATTGGAGGGAGTACTTCGTTCCGAAGTTCGATTTTGAAGATGAGTGTCGGTTTTTGCATAAGTGCTGGGGTAGGTTATTTATATTTTTTTTACCTCTGGTTTCTTGCATTTCACCTTTTTTCGATGAGTCCTCCCGCTTCTTCCTTCTCCTCATCATTACACCATTCCGAACCATTTCAAGGAATCATGACCAGAGTCTCTGACTAACATACTTCTTACTGAAACAGCAACCTGCACCCAAACCATGACCTCCTGCAACGAGGCCTTCCTCTCTCTCCTTCTCGGCACCTGCGACAGTTCCATCCCCAGCACCAGCTCCTCACCCTCAAACTCGCCCTCCTCACCATCGACATTATCCTCCCCATCCCCATCCAATGGTGGCCTCACCGACACCACCAACCTCACAGCCTGCCACAACCTAGCCCACTTTACGCACTACTACCTCTCCTCCACGCCGCACGCCTTTGCCGTCTATGCTTCCGTTTACTCTCAAGTCTGTGTTGTTACTGACGACTCCGTCGTTTCGTCCACATCGTCCACATCGTCCACCACATCCAACACCTGCACGCTATACGGCCCTGACACTCCTCCTACGTCAGGATCGGGAGATAGTAACAACAACAACACCAGCACCACCGACAACCCCAACTATTACTGCTCCGGCACCGTTTCTCACCCATACATGACCTCTTGTCCCATCGGTACCTCCACTTCTCCCACAAAGAAAGGAAGTACCTGCGTCGACCTCGCTTCGGACCCTGAGCTTTGCGGTCATTGCAACTACCAATGTCCAGCCGGGAGTAAATGCGTGAATGGGGCTTGTTCTTCTGTCTCGTGCAAAGGTAGGGGAGTAAGTACTTGTGGGGATTGGAGTACTAATGTGGGAGCGTCTTGTGGAACTGGCTGGGAAAAGGAGGAGGGGAATTGTATGTGTGTTGCTGCTGTTAAGTCAATGTCGATTGATTCTATGAGCGGGGGGGATGGTGCCGAGGATGGTGATGGGGATGGTGATGGGGATGGTGATTGGGATGGCAACGAGGAAGAAGAAGGATTCTGTGTAGATTCTGCGATGCCGTGTAAACTGCTTAAGGGGTGTGAGCGGAACGGGCAGTGCGTTCTGGGGAGTGTCTGTGTTAAGGGGTGTTGTAGTGGGAAAGGGGTTTGTGTGGAAACTGATTGGCGCGTTAATGCTGGTGGCGATGGGGGGAAGAGGGTGTTTGGGACGGTGGTTGGAGGGGATACGCTGGGGAGGAAGTTTGATGGGTGGTGATTACTGCAGTGAGATGAAGGCGATGAGGAAGATTCCGAGTGAGACCTGGGCGAGAAGGTGTTTAGGTGGTTACTGCCTGAGTGGTGTTGGGTTTGCTATGGGATTTCTGACACAGATTGAAAATATTACATGTAATTTGAACAAATCATGTGCGAACATGCCCTGGTGACCAAAAATTGGCAGTTTTGGAGTAACAACAAGACATAAAGAAAGAGCGACCCCTTTTGCAAAACCTGCATCTTCTAGACATCGTACCTTCCCTTCGCACTTTTCAAACCTCATACCTTCCCTCCGTATCTTCCAACCTCCGCACCCTCCCTTCCACCTCCGAAACTCCAAACCCTCTCTCCTTCCAGGTTTTCCGTCCAGCTTCTCACACTCCTTTGATCTACACTCAATAACCCCCAAAACCTAAAAACCTACCGTAACCCCTAGACCAACCTCTAAACCAAAACCCTCCCCCCATCAGTCCCCAACACCCTCCCCGTCACAAACCGGTCCCTCATAAAATACAAATACGCCTCCGCCACATCCTCCGGCCTACCCACCGTGCCCGTCAACGTCCTCTTTTTGAACCCCTCCAGCACGCGTTCCAACGACTGCTCGCCCTTCTCCTTAAACGACTCAAACAGTTCAGTCTGCACCGCACCCGGACTAACCAGATTAACCCTCGTCGGTTTAAGGTCAACCGCCAATCCTCTCACCAACCCTTCCAGCGCTCCTCCAACAGCTGCTACCACGCTCCACCCAGGCGACGGTTTCTCGGTGTTGGTGCCCCCCGTGAACGTGATTGAACTAAACACGGAGTGGCTGAAGTATTTGTCCTCCAACGCCAGAAGTTTGGCCAGGATAAGCGGCGCGGTAAACCGCACGGATGCGGCCTTTTCGAACCCCGCGGGTGTGATTTGCGAGATGGGGTTCAGGCTCAGGGCGTCGCCGGCCGTGAAGACGACGTGGTCGAACTTGTGCCAGCCGTCGAGCGTGGATTGGTCTAGCAGGTGCTTGAGGCTTTGTTCGACGGTTGACGGGTCGGAGAGGTCGCACGTAAAACCGGTGAGACGGGGGATGCCGCCGCTTGCTAACGAGGGTTGGGAAGAAGACGAGGAGGAGGTGGTGGCGGTGGCTGCAAAAAGATTGGAGGGGACGTAGGCGGGGGAAGAGCGCAGGCGGTCTAGGGCTGCAGAGAGTTTGGATGAGGAGGAGGAACTGATGGTTACGAGGAGACCGGCTTCGAGAGAGGCTTCGGCGACGGCGAAGCCGATGCCGGAGGTACCGCCGAGGATGAGCACGCGCTGGTTGGAGAGTTTGGAGGCATATTTGAAGCCGGAGGAGGTGTTAGAGGCTGCCATTGTGATTGATTTCGTTATATGAGATCGTTCGTTGGAAGAGAAGAATGATGGGGCAGAAGGTAAAAGTTGACGAGGTGAGGTTGCGAGATGTTAATATGTTGAGTTGGGGGCCTGATTGCTTTTCAGCTTCTCATACAAGGATTCAATGAATGAAACCTTATTTTTCACACACTTCCGCTGCTCCTCCTCCTCCTCCTTGTTTACGGTACAACCAACCTATTTTTACGGATGATGTGCATGTCAGACGGCACGAAGGTTCAGCTCGGCGTTTGGACAGTTGGGGGCCGGTTACACACACCGGGGATATGCCCTTGAGGGTTGGGGTTGAACATGGACGGTGTTAACGGACATAAGAGATGAATTGCGTCGCCAACAATGGTACGAATCGCTGCAATGTAACCCGGCGATGCGTTCAACGTCGACTGAGATGACTAAAAAGAGCTGGAGTCGGAATGTGCTTTCCTCCGAGCGAAGAAAGCTCTCACGCCGAATCTTAAGATATGCATACAAACTCGGGCGGTGATGTTGTCATTCGGTCTTTTCGGGGACTTAGAGACATTTGGCGACATTCGGCGACATTCGGCGACTTCCCCTGTGTAGCCCATCCGAAACCGACAGCCTTTTGGGGGGTGGGAGATGCGAAGAACAACTTCGGCCCGTCGCATACATATTACGGATACTAACAGTGAGGTGTCAGGGGCCAAGATCGTATCGCGCCCGCATGAACTGCTTGTTCAATTTCAATGTGTCTACACACCGACTGGATGACGGAGAGTCGACCAAAGACACTCGTCTACTTCATTAGCCTACTAAAACACATCTTCCTACGAACAAATCTAACTATCTCGGGAAGTGAACTTGAACATGACGAACCACATGACTCATTAGAAATAATATACGGATGTGCTTCATCTCCCTTCAGAAAAAGGCCCCATGCATCTGGGCTCTAGGAGGCATATTCCAAAAGAGAAGCTGATGAAAGAAGGAAGTAATGGCTAGCTTCCAACTCAAGCATCAACATTAATCTCGGCGGCCGCCTGTTGTTGGCTCGAACTGGCAGCACCAGCAGTCTTGGTACCGCTGCTACCCATCAGGTCACTAACCCAACCCATAACTTCTCTATCATCGGCCGACAACCGGGCGTACTCGAGCAGCAACCTGAGGACATAGACCTGCATGTCCTCTTTGCGGAGCGCCTTGTCAGCCCACTCCTTTCCAGCCATAGCAATGGCCTGGGCCACTTGGTCATGGCCCTTAACCTTGTCACCATAGCCAACAAAGTACTCCATGATGCCGAACCAGTCGCTATACCGGTTGTCCATTGGGACAAAGTGCTTCCAGGCAGTCAACCGGCTGTCGTGCCACTCCCTCCAGACAGTGGCCTTAATAGGTAGGGATGTCGATCTCAGGAAGCCGAGGTATCTTCCCGAGAAGGAGTTTCCGTCAATGTCGGGGAGATACTTGTAGTAAAACTGGTCCGCCATCTTCATGCCTGGCGTGACGGTATAGTGGGGATTGGTGTAGTTGCATCCAAGGTCCTTCTCCAGCTTAGGGGTGCAGAAGAGGTCAACGAAACTAACGTTAGACCATCCCTCGACCCAGTCGCCCAGTTTACCATCCTGTTGGGCCTTGACGCCATACTCGGATGGAGGTAAGTCAAAGTTCTCTGGAAGTTCGGTCCACGAGACTGCGCGATCCAGCTTGGTGGCGTTGTTCATGGCCACGAAGCGGTGACGCTGGAAGGCGCGCCAGTTCGTCTCACGGTTCTTTCCTCCCGTGGCGACACCACGCCAGATGACGCCATCCTTCTTCTCAGCCCAGGGCACGTCGGCACCCGCGTCACCCATGAAGCGCTCCTCTTCATTCCAATACATGGGCGCAGGGAGGAGAATCTCGTTATTGACGGCCAGCTTGGAGCCACCAAACAAGGGGAACAGGGTATCTGTAGCCGAGACAGATAGAGGCTCGACAAAGATGCCGTTGAGCCCCTGAAGATCAGGCTGGTGACAGACTAGGGTGCTCAATGTGTAGTTCGACACATATCCCTTCTCGGTATGCGGAGCGGCAAAGTTGTTGCTGATGGTCGGGCGGCGGTCGAAATCGGTCATGAGGGTAGACGTGCGGGCTAAGCTGTTAGGGGGGCAGCCGCGGCGAGCAATGGCCCAGTAACTTGGGATACCTGCCAGATGAGTGTTAGAATGATCCGTCCAATGTCTGATATGTGAAGATCTTGGTGGACATACCGCTTTTGTTCTCCCACACCTTCTTGGGCGTGACTTCGCCCTCAGCAGGGTTGACCTCAACATTGGGCAACTTGGGGTACTTTTCGACCACAGTCGCGCCATCCTTGATATTCCTCGTCTTGTCCGCCGCCGTCATGAACTCGTCAATCTTTTCCCAGGGAACCACCATGCGGGGCTCATCCATGGCATTGAGGGCAATGTCCAAATCAGGAACCAAGTGTTGGATGGTTTTGATCAGATCCAGCCAAATCTTTGTCCAGAACCAGCTGCTTCCGCTCGAGGCCTGACCGTTACGGACAGAAATACGCATTTCGAAATCATAAGCGTCATGGCGGATACGGGCCGGCTTGAGGGCCCAAAAGGGCTCCAAGTCGTGGTAGATCTGATCCCAAAAGTCTTCGACGATGATGGCATTCTTTTCCTTGGCAAACGCCCACCACTTGTCGAAGCCAGGTGGTGGATGACGGCCGCGACGCTCACGGTAGGCGGCAGCAGCGTCAGCAAGCGTGTGGGTTTGCTTTACTAGTCTGTCACTGAACTCCTTCTCGGCAGCTCGAACGCGAGCGTCGATGGGGTGGTCACCGGTAGCGAACTCGGCAGGCTTCCATTTCAGAGCACTCTTGTCAGAAGATGCAGGCGGGGTGTTGGGTTTGGTGGGAGGGACCGCGGCGGCAGGAGCTTCATTGGCAGGAGAGTTATGGACGGGAGGCTCATTGGAAGGAGGCTTATCAGAAGGAGGCGCTGGTGTGTTCACAGTGTTCTCCGGCTTGTGATCGACGACGTGATCAGAGTTGCCATTACCCTGGGGGACCTCCACGGGCTTCTCTCCGGGTTTTGTGACCTGCCCAGGGGAGGCGACGTCAACACTAGGCAGTATGGAGTCGGTACCACTAAGGTAGACGAGACACAGTATAATGGCGATGGCGGGTAGGATGTACCGCAACAGGAATGTTGGTCGTGGTATCATTTTGGCGAAGAGGAGATGGAGAAGTGTGTCCCCATCTACCTTGACGGCGCGATCGTGATGGTCGGTCGGGACGCAATGTTCGGCGGGTTTGTCGAGCTTCTAGTTCGAGAGGGAGGACATGGGATGACACAAGCTGGGCGAGCGAGGTCGAGATGTCAAACGAGATTTCGCTGCTTGCTTTCTGCTTTGTCGCACAGCAAGACAGGTATCGAGGCTGGCGTGACTCTCTTGGGTCCCGTGGCGGGGGAGAGACAGGAATCGTTGCGCGGGTGGGACAATGATCGGGAGAAAGATCAAGCGTAGCTTCGTAGGCCAAGAAAGATAGCCTGTCGAATATTATGAGCCAAGTACCTTAACAACTGGGCCTCCTCACGATGTGGGATGGGTCGGGTAAGGGTGGTTGGTTGGATCAAAGGTGGAAGTCGGGAAAGGGAGTGAGTGACTGGCAGGACGCTTTTTCCTGAAACGAGGCCCGCTATACGTGGAATTGGACTGGGCGTGATCGGCAGGAGAAAAGACAAGAAAGGCTGCACGCTTGATGTCGTGTGGTTACCGAAAAAGAAGAGGCTATGGCGAGAAGACAAGGGGATGCAAATAATGAAGTGAAATCAAGAGCAAAGAAAAGTTGCCCCCATACTAGTGTAGAGTCGACACAGCTGAAGAAGGAAGGGTTCGAGAAGATGGGATGAAGCAACCGTGAGTGTTGCAGGTTCAAGGTTGCGCGCTGGTAGTCGTAGCCAGGGCCCTGGAGTCCAGGCAATTCCAAGTCCATGCCATCGCTGCAGCATGTCAGGGGAAACGGCAGTGGTGGAGTCGAAAATTCGTGGAGATTAAACTGGAGGCGACTTGGTTTCGACCAATCAACAGAGAGATTTGGCCAAAAAAGGTGGCACCCAAAGCTGCCTCGGTGCTAGCCGTGCGCACGTAGCTGCCGTCCTGAATGCGTACTTCCCAGCACAGGGGCATTCAAGGCCTGGACAAAAGGCCACAGCGAGCGGTCACCACACGCCAGGGACGAACAAGAGGACGGGACCCTCACCCGACATGGGACTCGGGCAACGATCGATGACGGCGTAAATTGCAATCTCCCTCAGATTCGAAACTCGTCATCACATGAAAGTCGACTACCTACACCACCTGACTTGAGTTGTCTGATGCTGAACATGGAAACACAAGATTGTCTGTCAGCTGCAAGTTTGGTCGGGCAGTGATTCGAAGTTTCGAACTGAAGTGTCGGGTCACTGCATGTGGCATCGGCACCTCATTGTGTACAACTGCAGCGTGGCAGAACACAACACTCGCTGCAAAACAAGCGTCTCGTTTCCATCTTTTCCATCCATTGTTTCTGTCTACAGTTGCCTGTCAAAAGTGACAACCATGTTCCCACTATTGGAACCGAGTCTCAGCTATTGATAGTCCCAATTTCGAGGTTCTCGGTGCCTGCAAACTTGTTCCATGCTTCGAATCCCAGGATGCCATGCGCCATGTGATGTTAGTGCTTTACGTACAAAGAACAAACGAGACAGAAGTCAATACAGAGGAAAATAGAAAACACACTTAAACCGAATAAATACTGTTATCCGTCTTCCGGAAAGTGGTAAATGACCAGTGATAGGTTAGGTGAGTCGTAGAGGATATTGATTTCGTTGTATATAAGTAAATTAACCGGAGCCGGCTTCCATCAATCAGCTACGACAGATGTCAACATCTGTGAGTCTTCCGTAGTATAGTGGTCAGTATGTGAGCTTGTCAAGCTTGAACATCAGTTCGATTCGCTCGAGACCCGGGTTCAATTCCCGGCGGGAGAGACCTTCTTTTTTTCTTTTGTCCATTTCCACCCGCTCACCCAATGGGAGCTCACGTTTTCTGTACATATTCAACAAATTTCATTTCCTCTTTTTTGCCCATTTTAATCCTTGTCTTCCTCTTGTTTCACTTCTTGTAACAACTCACTCGATGCATCCATCCATCCCTGGACAGCTTTCTCAACTCAATGTATTGACGCAACCTGCACCAGTACTGGTCATTCATGGTCATGAAGCTGTTCAGCCGATGATAACGTTTGCCGAGCTTCTGTTCTTGCAAGATCTCTTCTGTTGTATGGGGCATCTATCTAATCATCATTTTCGTTTCCCTTCTATGTCTCGACAACGGACCTCATATCTTTCGTCAGTCATTTCCATCGTATCCGTCACAGAGCCAAAATTTCGTATAGCATCGCCCCATGTCCCAAATACCCGGCGCCCGAAAACCAAATTCTGCAAGACACCACCACCACAATGACAAGCTTTCAAGCCATCATTCTAGACTCCCTTTTCCTCGAGGTGATGAAGATCATGCCATCCAGCTCTTCCATTTCCACCCACCCATCCACCGACCACTTCCTTCCTTTTCCCCCTGCTCTTCATCCCTACCCCTACCTTAGCTCCCACCCTTCCTCCCTCACCTCCTATCATCAGCAAAAACCTGATAAGCAATAACCATAATCCACACCAAAAACACGGTCCCACCAGTCCAAACGCAACACCGCATGCCACTGCTGGCAAATACTCCTCTGCTGGAGCCAGGCCAGCGTCTCCAGATTCTGGCCGGTCGGTTTGGGTTCGGCGCCAAAGACGAACAAGTTGCAGTTCGAGTTGACGCTGCCGTTGGGACCCCAGAGCTGCACGCTGATGACAATAAGCCCGACGAGCCACAACACGAATAAGATGAAGCCGCCGATCATGACGATTGAGGGAAGCAGACGACGCTGGAAGATGAGGCCCAGAAGAAGTAAGATGAAGAGGATGGTGAGGGCGGAGACGGTTATGAAGTAGGGGAAGTACCTTTGACGGAAAGAGTTAGCTTCGTACATGGAAAGTTGGGAGGGGATAGAAGGGGAGGACGAAGAAAAAAACACGTACCAAGGCACAGGCAACAACAAAGTATTCTGCACATCAATAAACGTCGCAAACACGCCGATGATGGTGCAAGCGGCAATAATCATGATGAGCATCCACACGTTGAGCTGGATCGCGGGCCAGTGGTATTTGTGTACGCGCTCGACGCCGACGGGGCCGCGGGTGCGGTCGTAGACGAGCGAGTCGCTTGTTATTGTTGATGCCATGATTGATGAGTGATGACTGATGACTGATGACTGATGGCTGATTGACTGACTAATCGACGGCTTGAGTGCGTCCTTGAATGATGCTGAGTTGAGTTGATTTTCGGGGTAAAGAATGAGCTTGAGCTCGGTGACGGTATCGGCGGCGGATGGATGGATGGATCAAGTTGGTTGGTGATTTGGTGAGATATTCCCACGGTCCCACCACAGTCCCTTCCTTGGTGGTGAAGCTGGTAAACTTTGCTGGTTCAGTTCCCTTCGCTGGCTGGTTCCCTCCCTCTCTGACTCTGACTCTCTCTATGCCTTCGTTGCCAATGCTGTCAAACTTCAAGCCGTCAAGACCCTATTCTTAGGCTAACCTTCCGTGGTCGCCAGTCTGGAACCTTTCCTGTCTCAGTCCTAACCACCAACAGTTGCGATATGTGCACGCTGAGGCGAATCTCTCAACTTCCGGATGGGCTTCCTTCCTGAGCGCTTTGACGAAGTCCCGTTACAGAGCACCCGTCGAACTTCAACTTTTCTGGTTCGGAGAGAAGTTGTCTGTCTGTGAGTTGCGCCTCCAATGCACCCCTTAGGGGGATATTCTTCGTCGAAGAAAATGGGTGCGCGATATGTTAGGTTGTTCCGTTGACAATGCTTCCTTCAGTCTCTGTAAAACGTATTCCCGTGAGATCGAAGAGGCTGATGATACTTGTTCCTTGGACGCGAAACTTGGCTTGGCAACTGGCTTACTTGTGAGCCTAGACAGCAGGGTCCGGATCGCAAGTGTTCGTCAGTTGATCGCCTTAACAATATTCGACGGACTATTCCCTCTGAGGTGAACGAGATGGACTAAGTATGAAAAAGATTGGAACAAAGCAATTGTTAAAAAATGAAGTCGTTGACGATAATGTTGTCCTGGAAGTCTGGAATCTGGGACCTTGCAGCCTGAGTGGTACTACAGTGGGGTTGGAATTCCGAAACTTGCTACGGCCGTTTTCGCGTGGCTGGGATGGAATCAGAATCAGCCGAACCAGACAACAAATTGGGTGGGCTGGAAAGGATACCAATGGAAAGGGCGTTATTGGGGCTCGTCATCCATCCATGCAATCTATTATTCCAGGTATAGATACTCGGTATCTACATATGATATATACCTCCCATTAGCCTGGATCCCCAGTTTCGTCCGGACTACTGAGTTGTTGTCATGGACTCCAACGTTCGTTTCGGAACAGCGGCAGTGAGCGCCAGTGACAGCGGACGGGAACGGTCATCTTGGCGCTTAAAGAGGCTTCCTTGGCATGGCTCTGAATGGAGGACATTGTTATCGATAACGAGCGACCACACACAGCACACTCTCTGAAACAGTAAGATGACGCGCCATTGCAGGAACTGACGATAACCTCAACTGTGAACCGATATCGAGACTGAGGTGCTCGTTACCTCTTCTCACTGCACATACCTAATTGGTGTTGCGTTGGTGTTTCGGCGCAAGGCCACTGCGGTGACGATGCCTGTCGGGCACCGGATGAGAGAGTCCGAGATGTCATCGTCATTTGCGGCCTGATGTCAATGCAGGCTTCCTTTCTGTCAAAAATGTCCGAAAAACCTGGGTACATGCCGGTAGGTATTGGGACGCAAGAAAATGGCATATGGTTTCCAGAGAAGCAACAATGAAAGGAACAGGAGCAAGCAAAGTGGAAGCGCAAAATAAAGTTCCATTGCGCTTCAAGGTTGGTTGGTTTGGGTGTATGATATAGACATCATATCCCCGGGCCCTGATCTCCAAAGACCAGGCCCCACACAAGAAAGCCGACGTCTGAGTGCAAGCTAACTCTTGAGAAAAATAAAAGAAAAAATAATAGAAGAAAAAGATGAAGCCATGACAAAAATATTTCCTCCCAATGGTATCCTAAAACACCTGACGTCCCATCCCATATCTATAGGAGACATCATTATGCTGCCGTTATTTGTCCTGTTAATGTCATATCATGTATAAAAAAACGCCGCCATTGCTGCGGCCTCGTCGTCCTGTACTGGGTCCCCATCGTCATTGGGCTTCCCTTCTTCGTCGCCTCGTAGGGATATTGCATTGCTGTCATCACATCCTTTTGGGACGACACTCATAGAAGGCTTTCGCCGAGAGCGCATCTAACCAAGGAGCAACCAGCGCGAACAGTCTCGTGTGCGCCGACGTCGTTGGGAGCCGCCAAGGTAGGGTTGACCTCGACAAGATCGACGGCGACAAGGCTGCCCGTCTCGTGCACGCACTCGCAGATGAAGTCGCCCTCGCGGAGGGTGAGACCGCCGCGGACCGGGGTGCCCGTGGAGGGAGCCCACATGGGATCGAGCGCATCGACGTCGAACGAAAGGTGGATGGGGGTATCGTTGCCGATGTGGCCGAGGGCCATCTCCATGACACGACCGATTCCGTGCCTGGACGAAAGCATGGTGGTTAGCACGATGCGCTAGGAAACATTCCATCCGATGAGTCCCCAGGGGTAAAACTTACTTGTCAATGTCGTGCATGCTGAACGCCTTGATGCCGTTCTCCCTCAGGATGCGCTTCTCACCGGGGTCGACATCGCGAAGACCAATGTAGACCAGCTTCTTGACACTGAGGAGATTATCGGGCTTCAACCAGCCAAAGAAGTCCTCCTTCTCCTCGCGCGCCAGACCGGTGACGAAGCTGACGGGCATGCCGTGGATGTTACCGCTGCCACTGGTCTCGGGGGTGTTGATATCGGCGTGGGCATCGACCCAGATCACGGCGATCTCGCGTCCGAGGCGCTCCCTGATGGCCTTGGCCGAGCCGGCAATGGTGCCAATGGCAATGCTGTGGTCGCCGCCGAGAGTGAGGACCAGACGTCCCTCCTTGGCGTGCGAGTAGACCTGCTCGGCAATGCGCTTGGTCACGTTGGAGACGGCGCGCGGGTTCTTCATGTTGCGGTAGGGCGGGTCCTCCTTGGGGACGAGGTCCGTGTAGAGGTGCACTTCGTCATCGCCGTGCAGCTTGTAGCCGAGCTCTTCGCGGAGCTGGGTGAGGAGGCCGGACTCGATAAGGGCGGAGGGGGCTGCGTCGACACCAGGCTTGCACTGTTATTTTTTGGGGTCATGTCAATGGATGCCAAACTCGACAGAAGAAAAGAGTACTTGAACATACCTGGCCGCCGGAGAAGCCTACGGCGACAATGCCGAGGTCCTCGGGGTGGGAAAGGAACTTGGATTCGATTGGGGAAGACATGCCAAAAGTCTTGTTGGAGCCTATGGGAGAAGGTAGTTCTTGGACCATTGGCGCCTTTGTGGACGAGGGAGCAGCTATATAAGCCGCTGCTTGGTTATCGAGGCGGGAGGGAGACATCAGCGAGAAAGGAATGGTGCCGAGGTAGGGTAGCAGTGGGGGTAGAAGAGGGCTAGAAGCTAGTGTCGATGCAACCAAAGAGCTGAGATCCTACAAGGCCGGCCGATATTGCTGGAAGAAGGCTAGTAGGTATGTTGTGTTATGAAGAAAACGAGAAAGTTGTTGAGGAGAGAGGATAAAGAAGGGAGAGAAAAGACAAAGCGAAAAGAGATTCTGCTTTTTTCTCCAACCCGCAGCCCATGACATATTTACCTACCTTCCTCCTCACCCTCTCTCCATCATCCCAACAAGGAAGGTTCAAGATGCCTGGCTCTCGCCGCTCATGCCCCGGTGCTTGTTACGGTGTGAACGGATCCGGATCACGGACCACGGAACACTTTGTCCTGCCATGTCTGGCGTATCCCGCCCGAGGAGAGATGGAGTCCCCAAGACTTCTTTTCTCTGGGAATGACGGCTATCACCGGTAGTATCCGACAATACCCTGGCATCTTGTGTCTTAGCATCGCCGAGCCGAAAGAGTACTGTGTAGATCTGGGCATCTGGCGATGAAAGATGAGAAGGTAGCATTCAGTATTACGTACGGTGGACTGTGCTATGTGTCAAGGCCGCCAATAAGAGGACCTTGATGGCCCCCCCTTGATGGACGGCCGACGAGGAGATGGTGATCACAGGTGTGGAGGGGCACGCTTGTTTGACAGAAAGAGATTCCATTCGAAGCGAGCTTTGTCATTCACCTTGATGTTGTGGGCTGTGGCAGCCGGCGATTGATTGCAACTTGCAAGGGATCATTTTGAGGTGGGTGGTTGAAGTTCTGTTCAGACGCTGAGGGGCATCCAGTGATATCGAGGACCCCATCGTCCCATGGGCTTCCACAGGCCGGAGTGGAGGTCATCTGAACTTCTGGAAAACTTTCAAACTTCGATTCTCCATTCTTGTTAGTTTCTGTGACTCACGGTAGCATACGAATCTAATTGACCGCCATACCCCGGTCTGTCAGATGATAGTTTCAACAAATCCCCAGGATGCAGCATCTTTGTGAACATGGACGACAGCGGGCGGAAACCGGCAAAAGCCCGAGTGTCGTCTCCATTTTGGTGGGTGGTTTTGTTAGTGCGAGATCGGTAGTTCCTTTGTCGGAAGCGCTCATGCGGTAGCGGACGTGCTTACGTTACACCTATCTCACTGCTCAAAGTATGCCTATCGCTTATCTAGAATCTTGGGGGCTGCGATAGTCGCGTAACACGAGATGGAATTTGTCCGATGTTTTTCATCATTCTTTATCAGATGATCAGATGAACCGAATATATAATGGCCGGTGGTAAGACCAGGCATCAGGAGCAACCTTTGGCATCCTACGACTGCTGACGTTGCTGTGCGGGACATAACTTCACCAGAGGGACGACCCAGGAAGGCTCGGGGGAAGCTCGCTGTCCTTTAACGGCAGTTCCTCCGACGCTCCTGGATATTGCTTTCGGCTTGGTCTCAGTTTCCGCCTCCAATATCGGTCAAACATCGGCAAAACGAGGGCTTGGATCAATCCACAAGATCATTACAGTACAGGTTGACGACTAATGTGTGAGTTGTTTTATATCGCCAGAAGAACGTCCTTCATTCCATCATGGGCTTCGTCTCGGAGGAGACTTTTCTTCGTCGGTGCTCGACCTGCCTCCTGGTTTGTAGGCCAGACAAACGATTCAAGGTCTGACGAGTACTCCTTCACCACAGACTGTTCTGAATTTTCGAGCTGCTCTTCTACCTTTTCCCGCTCACTGTCGTTAATGCTTTTTTGTGTGATCCTCTAAGATCTCAAGGCGATTTTAGCTTGGTGTTGTCGAGGTTCAACCAACTATGGCTGTGCCTAGCTGAGTCCCAAGGACGGACATTCGAAGCCAGGCCTAGCTGGTTGTTGTGGAGCTCCGCCAGTATGGTAATGCCAACCTGAACTGTGAAGCCGAGGAAGAATACGCCGGGACACGATAGTGTCTGCCCGAGCCCTTCGTCAAGGTATCTTGACAGACAGATATGTAAGTTGGAGAAGGTCTCTTGGGGTTCAAGACGAATCGAGGTGTATATCTCAAAGAACAGCGGGAAGTCGAGATAGCGGCAAAAGTTGGCTCATTCGAAGTTGGTGGATGAAACGAAACATTTCCCATCTCTGACCCCATCCGAATCCAGTAAAAGTATCAAGACGGCACGGGATGCTATTCGCCAGAAGAAAACCGTCTGCTTGGTTCTCCTAGCAACCAAGCATGGATGTCCCCAACGGTACCACCCGTCGTGATTCACGGCAAAGCGAACAGAAAAAGAACTTGTGGGTAGTTGAATAGGGCTCAAATGCTCAAAGACTGAGTGCCGACAGTCCATGCCATTATAGCTAGCTGTTGTCGCCTCAGTTTGGCCTTTTGAATGATCCAAGGTTCACCCCATACGGAATACGAATGGTTATCAGTTATGACATTCTCAGGACTTCATGGGGTCTTTATTCTGTATGGAATTCGGGTCATGACCCCATGGGTTGGGTGGAGCGCACGGGCCAACCACGCGACGGGAGCGCGTGAACCCCGTCCGTCACACTGACTCCAGATCATCATCTCCCGCTGAGCTGAGCTTGTGGCTGCACGGACAATCACAAGTACCTTTTCATCAACAACTTGAACCGTACCACCGACAGAAACCGGTCCCAGCTCCCAGGTCCCGTCTTCTCAGAACCTCCATACCGGCAGTTACAGTCCCTGGGCAATCTACTGCAACCCCCTTACCAACCCCTGCCCATCGGGGCTGGTTGGTACCTTTCTCTAGAGGTCAACCTCCCGTCGACAGCCACCACCAGCTCGGGGCATGGTACTTGCCAATCTAATATTTCCAGGTACATGACCTACAGTCCAATCTCTCCACTCGACAAACGCCTACTATCCCCAAAAAAGACCACAGATTGCCGGATAGTGATACGGAATTTGGACTTCTCGAACATCTCTTTCCCCTTCTACCTTCTACACTAGTGTACTAGCTACGAATTATGACGCCTCGACATACTCGGCACCTTACATTCTACTAATTCTGACTTCATAATCGCGAATGTAGTCCTCTAATACCTCGACTCCGAGACCACGCGATCATCAATCAGTACGGGGACAACCCCTAAGACGACAGCACGGCGATCGACGCGGATACGGGGGATACGGGAGGAGCCCCTTAAAACAACCGCAGCGCAATTGCGCTTTGCCCACCGCGATCCAACACCGTCACCCTACCTCTAGGGCTGGCTGAGACCCAGGCCGGGAGCATACGGGGAGGTAGCTGAGGACTGAGGTGATGACCATGGAGGAAGAAGTCCAGGAGCGAGGAGGCCGACGGTCGCGGCCATCCACAGGGACAAATCCCGACAGCAACGCCGATTCCCAACCTTCGACGCGAACTACTGGCAGTAACAACAACAACAACCGCCCCTATCCCTCGCCTGCGACCTCAACTACGAGTCCAGGTACATCGCTAAGACCCGATGAAATACGGCCACTGCTTCCTGCCCACTCAGCTTCCTCTCTCTTAGCAGTACCCGAAACCAGCTACTTGGAAGGACCGAGCATAGAGTTGAGGCAGTCCGATTCACAAGCCGAAATCGCCGTCCACCAGCACCTAAACGAGATCGAGTCTAGCTTTTCCGCCCCTATTTCTCCTTTCCCGACATCAGAGAGAGGCGTCGACGATACCTATGACCTCTTCGACTCCGCGTCCAGGCAAGCTGCACCAGCCGGGCCGAAAGCGACCGCTGCACCTGCGACTCCTCCGCCACCCCCACCAGCGCATGCCGACGCACGATTACAAACACCCAGAAACACGCAACAGTCGAGCTACGAGTCCGAGAATGACTCCGAGGACGACACACAACATCTCCCCCAAAACAGCAACAAAATGCGTGTAGTCACAGCCAAGGAGGCCGACGAGACCACCATGCAGAGGTCCAACTACGAAGAGGAAGAGGGTGGAGGCGAGGAAGAGAGCCAGAGTGGAGAGGATGAGCCGAATGAGGCACATGAGCAACATGAGCAACATGTTGCGGATACATCCATGACAAGTAACACGACTTCGGCTCTAGAATCCTTCTCTCCGTCTCCCCCAACGAGGGCGACACCTCGCGCTGTTTCGCAACCAAGTCAAGACAGACAAGTTGACGACCATGACGGAAATGGGTCGTCCCACGAGCAAGAGCACCATGACGAGTCCGACGAGTCTGATTATTGGCACGAAACTCCCACCAAACCAAGGTCGACCCCCGGGAACAACAAGAACCCGCAGCAGGTGCCCTCCACCCAGAACGCTAGAAAAACTCTCGGTAAAGAAAAGATGACCCCGGAACAGACACCGGAACCGACCCCCGAGCACCCCTCCAAGCAGTTGCATGTCAGAAAACAGGCTCCAGAGCAGAATCAGACAAAGAACCAGCAGTCTCCGCAACAAGACAGAGGCGAGCTTCCCAACCGCCCCAAGTACCTTAAGAGAGGCCAAAATGGACAGCGTGATTCCGTATCATCTTATACTAGTGATCTAGATCCCGACAGTGATCATACGATTGGTATGGGAACAGACTACGCGCTGCACTCCGGCGGTGCGTCTTCTTCGACGGAAAGGCCGGGAGATACGAATGGGCTCACGAGGACCATCAGCCTGGGCAGCTTTGCTAGTGGCTACGAAGACCCTGATCCCTCTGGTCCCATTTCCGGACTTACTCCTCTTGACGAAGCTTACAATGCGATATCCCCGGAGCCAGCGGTCATGCGCCAGCTACGGGACCAAGAAGATGATGGGGTACAAACACCCAAAGCCCGCAAAACACCACCTCCTCTTGCTGCGCCATCTGACACAGTTCTCGCCCGGCATGTTAGAGATGTGCAGGTGCCCGAGTCTCTGGCGAAAGAGTACAGGGCGAAGACAGGACTGACGACGCCGCTGAAACCCCTTAGCCTCGCCGATCTTAAGAGTCCCGGAAAGCTAGGCGCTTCGGCGGTGACAACCCGGGCTGGCGGAAAGAGCTTGACTTTGAAAGAGCAAAGTAGCACCATTGAGCGGTTGAGCAAAGAAAATTTTGACTTGAAGCTCAAGGTCATGTTTCTAAGTGATCGCCTGGATAAGCTATCTGAAGAGGGTATTAAGGAGATGATCTCGGAGAACGTGGAGCTCAAAACTGGGCTGGCCGTGTTGCAAAGGGACAACAAGATGCTAAGGAAAAGGGTCAAGGAGTTGGAGAAACAAGTCAAGGACGAGGATGAGCGACCAGGCACTGCCCGCAGCGATCAGTCAGATGAGGAGAGTGCTGCCTATAATCAAGAGGTGCAGGAAGAGTTGATGTACCTCAGGGAGCAATTAGAGGAGCACATCGTCGAGATCGAAAGGCTGCGGAATGAAAATCTCCATAAAGAGGCGGAAAAGAGACGTATGGTGGAAATGGTTCGGACCCTCAGCGAAAAGACGGGCGAGAGGTTTGGCGGAGACCTCGATCGACAAGAAGAGGCCGATGTTTACAAGGATCTGCTCGAGCAAGAGACGGCGAGGAGGGAGCAGAGTGACGAGGATAACCGAAGGCTGCGCGAAGAAATCTTCCGCCTCAAGCAGGAAATGGCAATGCAACCGAACGGCAATGGGCAATACCAGCAGCAACAGCAAGGTTCCAACATGTCTTACCTCAGCCGAAGATCCCGTGATCAAGGGAGCGCTTCCAGTCGGCCTACGACTTCGTTTTCTGCTGATCAGGACGTTGCAAGCTCGGCTGCCACTCTGATTGAAGAACTTCGTCGGGAAAGCGAACAGCTGCGCCATGAAAACGCCGAGCTTCGTCGTGAAGTGGGCGCACAAACCTCGATGCTAACATCCCGAAACCGCGAGAAGGAACGTCTCTACCAAGAAATCGAGGATTTGAAGATGGCACAGCGTCGCGGAGGCCCTGCGCCGTCTACTATCGACAGCCTCTTGGAGAGGTCGGCATCCCGCGCCGGTGTCCACGAGAGATCACACTCGAGAGCTAGCGGCAGAACCGGTATGACGGGACTGGACGACGCCGACCGTGAAGAGCTCGAGAATAAGATTTCTCAGATGCGGGACAAGAACAACGAACTCCGGCTTCAGAACCAGGATCTGGAGCGTGAGTTGGCGGCCTGCATGGAAGACTTTGAGATGCTCTGCGAAGCGAAGAAGCAGGCCGAAGAGCATGCTAATACTCTGCAAGATGAGATCGAGGCAGCGATGCAGGATCTTGTTAGCCTGCAGACTGAGCGTGACGAGGCCCTTCAAGAACACGCGAACCTTGAGCAGGAGTTCGAAGCTCTGCGCAAAGAAGCCCAGGAGGAGATCGATGCGCTGGAGGGTGAATCGGATCTCCGTAGTGCCGAGATTGAGCGCCTCCAACTTGATCTGAACGATCGTAACGAGAATTTCGATGCCTTGCAGGAGGAGATGCGCAAGATGAGCGACGCCCTTGTTCGCCTGGAGGATGAGCAGGAAGCCAAGCACAAACGGATACAGACGCTTGAGCAAGAGCTTAACGACGCCAACAGAGAACTAGAGGAACTCGAATTCAAGCTTCTCGAGGCCAACGACAAAGCCAACCGTCTATCAGTCCAGCAAGAGTCAAGCCAAGGGGAGATTGCGTTCTTGCGGGAAGAACAGGAGAACGACAAGATCCGGATTGGTGATCTGGAAGCGGCACTGGCAAATTCCGAGCAAGGTATGCGTGATGAGAAGGACAGAGTCAGAGAGCTCGAGAACCGCCTGGCCCAGGAGAGGAGACAACGGGAGATTGTCGCAAACAGGGAGAAGGAGGAGGTACAGCAGTTCATCAACGAGCTCAACAAGGAAGCAACAGCGGCCAAGGACGAAGCCCGACGACTGCGCAAGAGCCTGACCAGCAGAGAGGTCGAGGCTACGGAGTGGAAGGAGCGGCTACTCGAGCTCGAGAATAACCTTCGCGAGGCTTTAGGTGACCTGAATGGCACCAGGTCTAGCCTTCTCAAGGTAAGCTGCCCTGTAACTGCGTTGCAACCTGGATGCAAAACTGACAAGCATGATAGTCTATCGCCAAGCTCCAAATGGACCTCGAAAAGGCCGTCCGCGACCTTGACACCACCAAGGCATCACTGGCTGAAAAGGACCGCATCATCAAGCAGCGTGACGCTCTTCTTGAATCCCATGCTCTCGAATCCCGCAAGGTTGGCGAGATGCTCGACAAAGAGCGCCAAGCTCATCGGAACACCAAGAATCAGTTTGAGACGTTCCAGAAGACGCACCATCATGTTACGCGCACACTGTCTCAATCAGACGCGCGCATTGCGGAGCTGGAAAATGGCAAAGCCCAAGACAAGAAGCGCATCGCTCAGCTCGAGGCTACCTACAAAGAACAGCTCACCGAACGCAACACTCTGCTGCTCAACCTCTGGACCAGGCTATCCAGTCTGTGCGGTAGCGACTGGGCTCACGACAATAGTCTCATCAATGGTCGCGCTCTGCCTAGTCTGGAGTCGGTCGCTACCATGTTCCCTGGGTTCAGCAAGAACCTCTTGGCTGCGGTGAAGACTCTGGAGACCATGGTCAGCAGCTTCCAGACCAAGGTGAAATCAGTGGAGCGTGACCTGTGGAGAGAATACCAGGCGCTAGAGAGCCACCTGGAGATGCGAGCCAAAAAGATGGATCGTCTGGAGCACATTGTGCGCAACAGCATTGCAGCCGGCACCACGGGCAACGGCGTCCTGACGGCCGCTGAAGCCCAGGGCAGGTTGGCCCGACTGGAAGAAGCCTACAGGCAGCTCAAGGTGGAAAATCACACTCTCCGAACAGCAGCCGAAGTGCGCGCTAGAGCCGCGTACGCCGCTGCACAGTCTTCTCGAGGAGGAGGATCAGATCGTCACCAACAGAGCCCCAGTCCACTGCCGTCAGTAGGGCCAAGGGACAGGGAACGAATGCCCAGTGACAGAATGTCTATTCACAGTCAAGTAGATACCAGAAAAGGCCCCGGCAGCAGCAGGCCGAGTTCCATTGCCGTACCGCAGCGATCAGCGAGTAGCAGTCGCAGGTCCATGATCAACGACATGGACGGGCACACGGACGATGGTTTACTGTCGGGAAACTCCCAACGGCCCCTGTCTCGGGCACAAAGTAACCAGTCGCAACAAAGTCATCAACAGTACCAGCACCAGCAGAATCACCCCCAAGTGCAATCCCAAGCCTCCTACACTGGCCCCGGTGGTGGAGGTGGGGGGATTCAACAAACGTCAGCCGAAAGGGGAGTCGCTCCTCCTTCCGGTCCGGGGTCGAACGCTAGTACCAACAACCCTGCTGCCACACCTGGCATGTACCTCCAAGCCGGAGGTGGAAGCCAAACAGGAGGGACAACAAGCGCAGACAACAAATGGATGCTGAGGTTGAGAGACCTGGAGTACAAGCTCAAAGCCGAAAGGGAAGGGAGAATCTTGGACCGTAACGAGGCGCTCAAGAGGATCAACACGAGCGAGTCGGAGAACCTGGCCCTGAGAGAGAATCTGGAGAGGGAGAAGAGGAGGAAGCGGGAGAGCGCTCAGAGTTCCGGCACGAGTAGTGGTCTCACTGGATTGGGCAACGGCGAAAGGGCTGATCCTAGATCGTTCGCGTAGCCGAGGTTTTCCTTTAGCGTGTGAGCCAGTCATAGTCATGTTCAAGGTCAAGGACAAGATTAAGGTGTTTTAAAGCTGTTACCTCTAATACTAGGATATGGATGCATATTGTATTAGATGTTGGTTGCGCTGGCTCTGGACCATCTTCATCAGGGACAAGGGAGTAAGTGGCGTTGGAGTAAGAAGACGTAGCAAGTAGAGGCGTGGAGAAGAAAGATTTATTGGTCCATTGTTATTTTCTCTTCGTTTTCGATCATTATTATCTGTGGTTTGGCCATGGGTCGGTCGGTTTGGGTTTAAACACACGGTTTGGGGACGGGCAGCATTGTTACTACTACCACTATTACCCCTTTTCCTTTATATTGATGTTGTTTTTGTACGTTGATTGTCAGTGATAAGATAATTAAGTAATCATCAAGCAGTCACCATCATCCATCGCTTTGTTTTTAAAATACCCGATACCACATGCCCTCGAGCAACACAGAAATGGACGTGGCCGTAGAGGTACTCACGGATTTGCGCTGCGAAATTGCGATAAGAGCAATCCGCTAAGCAACTGGACCTGCATGAATGTGACGTTGTGCCGCGATAAGCCTTAATAGGTAGGCGGTGTACAGTGGCAGAAATAATTGTTGCAGCTTGTTGCATGGGCAAAGTGAACTCAAAGTTGGGGTCAATTCAAGTACTTGTACACATCCAGTATCAACATCATCAATAACCAAAAGTCAGCACCACACAGGAGTACGGCAGCGCCATCCCACCGTCTGTCTCCTCCTCCTCCTCCTCCTCCTCCCTCCTTTTTTTATCCTCGGTTCTATACAATCGCCAAAATACTTATCGAATCAGCTCGACTACACCCCGCCGCCGCCCTATCCCGTCTACATTCGAATTCGATGCTCTCCACAGTGCGCAACAATGCTGTGCGTCGCAACTTCGGCCTAGGCCAGGCGCCATGTTTATCATCCATAATCACAACAACCGCCACATCCCGAAGTGCCGTTTGCCTATCGACCAACCCCTGCGCACAACAATGGCACACACGAAGGGCATACCGGACAACACAGGCTCTCGAAGCCAGGGGGAAGTCTGCGGCTGGCCAGATGATGATTGAAGCCATGGGAATTCTCCAAGCAGCCGGCAAAGTCACAACTGAAGAAACCGCGACACCGAAAAAGGCACGGGGGCGGCCAAAGAAGGTGGTTTCTGAAGCTACTGAGGATGAAAAAGAGCCCAAACAACGGGGGCGGACCAAGGAGAAGGTGGAGGTTCCGGAAACTACTGCCGAGGATGTAAAAGCCGAGGATGGAAAAGAGATTGAAGAGAAGCCCAAGAAAAAAAAGCCACGGCTGAGCAAGTATGATCCCAAAAATCCAAATGGGGTCGCATTCGCGAAGCCAGCAAGAAGGAGGCCAACAACAGAAGAAGACGAAGCAGCGAAGAAAACAACGACCAAGAAGAAGAAGACGTCATTAAAACCAGCCAAGATCTCGAGAAGCGATGAACAAAGCATGCTGCGACCTTGTGTTGACCCCGTGCAAGAACAACTATTCGACACAGAGCTTTGGAGCTGGCTCGATTATGGGCGCTCCTCCTCCAGGGGGCAGTCGCTTCCACACCTCAGGAAATACGACCGAACCCGAGTCCATGTTACCAGCGAGAAGATGGTGGACGATATCCTCGAGTACATAAAGCCCACCTTGAAGCGCCACGAGGGCTGCGACCTCATCGATCTAAACCCTGGAGCGGGCGTCTGGAGCACCAAGCTGAACGACCTGCTCAAGCCTCGCACGCACCTGCTGCTCGAACCGGACGCCGACTTATACAAACCCATGCTTGAACCGCTGCTCGAGCGAGATGGTACCAAACTGATCGCCAAGGACGGTGTCATCTGGGCAGAGCTGTTATCGGTGCTCACGCCCGAGTACCTGCCGCACCAGAAAGAGCACCAATACACCGCCGACGACGTGCCCGAGCGCAACGACACCCTCCTGGTCACCGCCAACCTCGGCTCCTACCCCAAGAGAAAATACGCAAGCTTCGCGAGCGCCACGGCCATGATCCTGTACCAGTTCAACCACGCCATCCGCAGCGGCGCTCTCTTCCAGAAATACGGTCTAGTCCGCATGCTCCTCTGGCTCGACGACGAGGACAAGGCCGCCATTCTCCCGAAAATGGCTCAGCGCCGCCGCCGCGTGGCCGTCGACGCCGAGCTCAACTGCGAATCCATCACCCACGTGGCCGGGCCCGACTACTCGGACATCGACCCGTCGAAGCGTCTCTGGTTCATGCGCGACGTGAACATTGACCGCAGCAGCGCGCTGGAAACGCTCCAACGCATGCGCGCGGCCGGGATCAAGACGCCTCCCGGGCGGGAAACCTGGCTGCTGCGCGAGATCTCGGAAAACCCCGACGAGGTGGTCGCCGCCGGCGAGGCTCCCCTCACGTACGACTTCCGGCACCAGGACGAGCTCGACAAGCTCGAGCGGGACTTTGAGAAAGGCAAGATGGAGGTGGGCTCCGACGAGCACAAGCTGATGGTGCGCATGCGCATCCAGATCGGCTCCGCCAACCGGCGGTTCCAGATCAACCACAAGGAGATGGAGGCCTTCACGCAGCTCGTGGAGGACTGGCGCGCCGCCAAGGCCGCGGGCGGCGACAACGAAAAGGTCCTGGCCGAGATCATGAGCCGCTACAAGGCCTGGGAAAAGAACTTTCTCAACATGGGCACGACCGCCAACGGCGACTGGTTCGTCCAGCGCGACAACCAGCACCTGTGGAACCAGAAGTCCATGCTCTGGGACCGCCGCGCCGTCGAGCCGCTCGTCGTCAACAAGGACGAGTTCTTCCCGCACGTCCCGCTCTCCCTGCTCGACATCCAGCCCAAGGCCGCGCACAGGGTCCTGCGCTCCATGGGCCCCAACTCTGACCGGTCGGGTGACATGGCCGACGTGTTGATGCGCAGCATCATGATCTACACCAACTCGCCCATGAGCAAAGTCCTTGATCGCCTAGCTCCGGGAGCCGCCGAGTACGTGTACCCCAGGTGTGAAAGCTTCGTTGACCCCGATAAGGGCGGCGTTCCCTTCCCCGGCACCACGGAGATTACCGTGCGCGGGATGAGCGCGTGGCAGTATGAGGATTTGCTGGAGCAGTGGATGAAGTGGCCGTTTAAGCCCAGACTGGAGGACCTGATCAGTCAGTTGTCGGATGAGTATAAGGATGCGGAGGAGGACGGGGGCAAGTTTGGGGGTGTTAGTCCCGAGTTTTAGAGAGAGGGATCAGTCAGGAGTCAGGAGTCAGGGCTGATTTGGTGCTTGCTGCCTATGGTAGACTATGCATGTAAAGTGTAGGTAGGCTGGGCAGAAAGGGAAGTGAAGTGAAGTGCCTGAGATTTGGGCTTGTACAAGTAAAAAGTTAAAATGGAAAAAGAGCCGGAAAAGCAGATGTGGGAAAGAAGGCAGCAATTAGGACACTTGTTCTCAGGAATATGTTTGATCATTTATACACAGGAGGGAAGCCCCAACCAGATTTGGGCAGGAAAAGTTATGAGATGGATCACGAATGATGGGAATGATTTAGATGGAGGGATCCAGCTAACTGAGGCTGGAAGGGATCGCCAGCTATATAGAGCTGACGATACAAAGAGGAAGAAGGTCTGCAAACGAGGGGATTCTGGGAAGTGCCAGGACCGCTGTCAAAGAGGGTGCCTGCAGGGCAAAGGACTAGCGGTCTGGGCAGCAAACGCCCAGAATCTTCTCACAAAAGTTCCAAACAACTTTAATCTAGAAGTCGGGTAGATAGACACTTACTTACACCTGTGAAAGTCGACTACAGGCAAGGAAGACCATGACCATGTTAGTGTACGATAGATAGATAAGAGTGGGATTCCCAAATCATACGCAATTTTCATGTATTTGTATGATGCTACCGAAAAAATCCGGGGGACACGTTACAGTTTGACTGACCTCTTCTAGCATAACCCTGAAAAGCAACCCTGAAAAGCAACCCTGAAAAGCAACCCTGAAAAGCAGATGTGGTGCACAAACATACTGGAACATTCATGCCCACCAGTGATTCTATACAAGACCGTAATTCTGAATGCCCCCAGGACCCTCCAGCTCGGTGTCTTTACTATGTAGGTAAGGAGGAAAGACGTAGAATCAGAAGAATCGAATTTACACTGCTCCGGGCTCTGTAGCTAACTCACTCACTATCTTTTCTGAGCATAGGTAAAAAAAAACACATTTTCGAGCAGTACGGTATGCTTGCAGTTTCTGCTTGCTTTTGTCACAACTCTCAAACCGTATCCCCCGGATTTTTTGCGGTCTGTATTATATATCAACCATGAGTGACCCAATCTGGGTGTGATGACGAACTTCGGTCAGGTATGTACAAACAAACTAGGGCAGGAGTAGTGCCCTACGAACAAAGTGAAGGTAAGGTAGCTCTCGAGGGTAGGTAGTTCCACATAACAAGTTGGCTTCTCTAATTTCCTCTTACTCTTACTCTTACTCTTACTCTTACTCTTACTCTTACTCTTACTCTTCCCATTCCACGTCCTCCTCCTCCTCCTCCTCCTCCTCCTCCTCCTCTTCTTCTTCTTCTTCTTCCTCGTCCAAAATATGAAGCGCCATCGCCGCTTGAACAAGAATTGCCACTACCGCAGAAAAAGCAACCGCCATGCCGGGCATCTCCATGCTGTGCCCTCCCTCGTTATGAACTCCGTCCTTATGATCGGCGGAGTCACCTCGGTGATGATCTCTGGAGGGCGTTGGGGAAGGCTCGGCTGTGGTCTTCGTGGACTTTGGCTTTTTGGAGTGAAGGGAACTCCAAGCGCTTGATTTGGAGTGATGGGAATTCCATACGCTTGGGTTCAAGCGATGTTCTCCGTGTGCAGCTGTTGAAGTCGTTGCCGTTGCCGTTGCCGTTGTGGATGACTCTACTTCCGACTGCAGCGGAAGAGAGGACTCTGAGGAGGAGGACGCGAGGGAGCGGGACACGGAAGACTCGATCGTCGTTGTACCGGTCTCTGTAGAGGTGAAGGTGAGCGTGGTGGTGTAGAGGCTGGTGACTTCGGCCTCATAATTTTCTTCGCTGTTGACGCTGGTGCTGCTGTTGGTGTTGGTGGAAGTCGTTGAAGCGGCAGGAAAAGACACCGCAACTCCGGTGACACCGCTAGTATTGGTTGGGACCTATGTGTGCAACTGGACTTAGTATTGAGCAGGTAGGGTATTGATGTGTCTAAAGGGCGTGTTCGTTCAGGCAGTAGCACAGTGACAGAAGTCTTTTTGTGGTGGCCAAAACGCCTTGGGCTAGAGATAGAAGAGCTTTCTTTACTGCACTACTGCCGGAACGAATATGGCCTACTATGTTGGAAGAAATCGCCGAAGAAGAGGGAGTGTTTACTCACCACTTGGGTTACGAGGATTTGCACATTTGTGCTGGGCTGTACTTCCTCTGCGAAAGCAGCTTGGATCGACGCCCCGGAGAGCCAAACTGTGACTGAGTTTTTGATAAATCTGTTGAAGTACACCATCTTGAGATGTGAGTGTAGGATGTCAATCTGAATGTTGAAAAAGTCTTGACCGGCTCCCCGAGTTGAGCAAGGAACGATCCCAAGAAGGACGGGGAAAACGAAAATATCTATATATGCCAAATAATTTGACTGAATGAGAGAGGGGGAACTAGAAAAGCTGGTAAGAAAACCGGGCGGGAGAATTTATAACCTCTTCGTAGACCTGCCCGTAGCAACCTAGGCATCATTGAAATCCCTCCCCACGTCCATGTCCGATGTTGCAGAGCGCCGAGCAGCGGACATGAGATGGGTATTTCTATCGGAGCTGCAGTCTCAAAAGCCTCAGTCAGACATGTGCTTCAATCTTGATGGCGGTTGTCAATGCAGTCGGCTTGCTGTAGAACCTTGATGAATACGTAAGGAGATGATTCCCAGTGAAAAGACATCACCTTGTATGTCTTCGATCTGCTGGAGCGTGGTGATATCTCAACAGCAGCATACCTGCCATTTGCCTCAAGTTTGTGAATATGTATCCGGGGAAGGACATTGCCTGTAGCATGGAGTCTTCTTGGAGCTGACAAGCATGTGGCGGCCATAGTAGAAGCATGGCTTTGGCCTTGACAACATGCAGTTGAAACTCATTGATTTGAGATGCGCATCCCAGATATTTGACTAGCGTCCAAGAACATGTGGCATGCAAGAGGAGGAGTAGATGTCAGGTATCAAGGAAAATTTCAAGTTGGCCACGAGGTTCTCGAACACAAGATGCACCTACTGCAGTCTGCAGACGGAGTGTCATTACTTCCAAACATGACTGAGCCCTTTTTGGTGCATATGGAAGTCGCAGGTTTCGACTACTGAGTATGCAGCGGCCATGCCTTTCCAAATCTGCAATACCAAGATGGACGCATGGCAGGTACAAACAATTCGCAACCTCGGCGCAGGTAACAGCTTCCCGACGGTTCGGGTGCGGCTTTTCCCAATCAACTTCCAGTTTATTCTGCAAGAGGAGCTTGAGGGCTTTCCGCTCATTCGACGCCCTGTTCATGAGCCGCTGTGAATTGTCTTGCATCGCGTCATCTTCTGAGGGCAAACACTTCACTTCAACATCTACGCCGTCGTCCTGGACCCCGATCCCGATGCCTTTTTACATGTAGAAGAGATGTTTTCGCAGATGCATACCTCTAGAAACCCACAGTTATTTTCTTCCTCGGTTGTCTGCTCTCAGTGGTGTTGCGGCATCACGTCAGGCGTCAAATTTCCAAAGCTTCACTCATCGTTCAAAGTCCATGCCAGTATTAGCGATGACTTCTTGAGGAGTGGGTCCGAGCGCGGACTCCAACAACACACAGGCGGTTAATCACCGCCCGGCTAGCTCAATCGGTAGAGCGTGAGACTCTTAATCTCAAGGTTGTGGGTTCGACCCCCACGTCGGGCTCAATTCCCGATGTTCAACAACATCCTTTCTTTTTCGCCGTTTTTTCGCCCTTGAACCATAGAGTTCTTTTTGCCCTTCGCCTGTCGTCATTGTTTTGGTTTGCTTATTCTCTTTGTGTCGTCTCTGGTTCTTCTTGTCTCTGATCTTATATCAGCTATTGTTCGTTAATCATACAGTCTCTAGTGCCTATGAGGACGCTGCTGAGAGAAATATGTCTGAAGAATTTTTTGAATTTTTTATTTTTTTTTAGGGGAGAGGGGGGGAGGTGACAGTGAAAGAGCACCACAGACTAGATAAACAGATCATCATCAACAAATTAACCACAAAATACCAAAGACCACGAACAACCAAACTCTTCATTACTTGCGAGAGCTTTAAATAACGAACGGAAATAAGCATTCGCTACATAAGATTGACTTTCCAAAGTCTAGGGTTTTCTTGTACAGGAGTGTCTTCTGGGGAGCACTCGAAAGAATAGGAAGCAAAAAATAAAAACTTCGAAGGCTTCACGAACAAAAGTGAAAGCAACTCGATCCACCCAGGGGTCGAACCTGGAACCTCCTGATTCGTAGTCAGACGCTCTGCCATTGAGCCAGCGGACCTGTTGAAAGCAGGGTTCAGATCTTGACTTCATATCGTCACCCGGGCATCATCCGAAAACAGTGATTGAATGTTTCTCGCTAGTTGTCGACCTCATCCTCTTTTGTGACATTTGACAGCTCCGACTTCCCATTTCAATCCCCCATCTTGCTTTAAAAATTGAAAGTTCAATTATTCCGTATAAACCTACTCCCAAACAGTCTTTCGTTCGAAGCTTCTCTTCACATCCCTTTCAACTAAGAGAAAAAAAAATCATCGAACAGATAGTGAACAACTGTTCCTCGTTCAAACTACCACTAAGCAGCACACTAACTTGCCCACGTACAAGTTCATACAGGACATAACTATTAGAAAACACGTCCGAAACAAGACACTGAGCGAACAAAGGAAAGAATAAACAAATAAGAAAGGAAGAAAACGCAGCAGAGAAGGACACTAAAAGAGGTTGCAAAAAGAAGTTGGAACGACGGGAATTGAGCCCGACGTGGGGGTCGAACCCACAACCTTGAGATTACGGAGGAACTCCTTAAGAGTCTCACGCTCTACCGATTGAGCTAGCCGGGCAAGCGGCTGATCAATCATTCCTTGATAATTAACATTCACTGACTTTTAGCCTATAAGCTACAAAACCCCCAACCTGATTCGGGTGCGGGTGTGGTCATCATCCACAATAGATGTTCACGACCACAACTTGAAGAGCGAAAACATACCGCGACCAAAACAGCTTGCGCAAGGCGGCGAAGTCCATTATTTTTCAGAACTGGAATAATTGTTGTGAGCTAACAGAGTGAGTGAACAAAATCCAGGGTCGGGTGTTGCATAATGTGTGGTTTGCGCTGCATGCATGCAGCACGCTTTCCCCCGCCGACGACAACACCAACGGAGAGGCGACGACGGCACTTGATGGTTTCCAAGAAATCCCACATGCTGCTTACGAGAACACAAGAACAAGAAGCTTCCACGGCAGGGTCATTCCTCGCGCTCGCAGCAACTGCCTACATTTTCCGAAGTCGCATTGATCGGGCAACTTCCATTTTCTCAATTCTTGCTGTTCACTCCAGCCACTATCCACGCTGCATACTATCACATCCGACATTCAGCACCCATCATCCCCCTTTCCCTTCCTTCGTCCCATTCCTCATCTCATCCCTCCAATTTCCACCCCAATTTCCACCCCCATTCCCACCCCTACCATAGACTACTAGACCCTCCGACCCTCTCCCTCTCCGACCCTCTCACTCTCCCTCCCCCTCTTAATTGAAGGGAACATAACTAACAAGTACTGCAATCATCACACCTCTTAAACCCATACCCCAAATCCTTGCACGCCTGCACAAACTTGTTGTGCTGCGTGCCGGGATTCACGCAGCAGCCCGTGAAGCCGCAGCCGTAGACGCCGTACTTGGCGCCGATGCGGTCGCAGGCCGTCTTGGAGTGGTCGGTGCCGCCGTTGCAGGCACACTTTTCGGCAACGACGGTGGTGCCGACGGTGAGGAGGCTGAGGAGGAAGGAGAGGGTTGTTACGAGACGCATATTAATTGATCTGTGAGGCGCGATTGGGCTTGGGTGTTAGTTTGGGTATTGAGAGAGGTTGAAGTGGTTGATGATGATGAGTGGGATTGGGATTATTTGGGCTGGACTGGACTGGATGACTAGATTGTTGAGGAGGCGTACCTTTGATGGTTGACGATTGAGATGAGCAGAAATGCTATGTCTGATGGAGATTGAGGCTTGTTTGAGACTCTGATGGTGATAATAGATGGGATAATCGAGGACTCAGCAGATGAAGAAGGAACTGGCAAGGCCTATTTAAGGATTTTCGTCAACTCTGCTTAGGCACTCTAGAAGTCACTCGATGTTCACGCCTGTTAGTCTTCACCGAGAGTCTCATACCACGTTCGGCTGTATTGAATACTACATCTTGCGTTACACGATGTTGGCCGGAGAGGTAAGCAATATCGCGAAATTCATCCGTCTTGGCTTCGAAAGTTCAACCCCTGAGGGGTCTGGAGAGGTCGATTCGACATGGTATGGGCTCAGTAGGGAGGTTGAGTGGTTAGAGACCATCCCCCCAATATGTCCACGATGTTTTGGATGGCCTAGACGTCTCTAACAGGGAGGCTTTGATATTCCAACAAGAACTGCAACTGTCCATCTGCATTCTCGTTCGAGACCTTTTCTTTCCGTGATCTACCAAGGTGGCCTTCCAAGCAAGTCTAGCCTCTAACTACACTCTAACTACACGATGACGTCTAAACAAACGGAGTTAGCTGAGACCACATACGGCTACAAGATCTGACTGCTTGTCACTTTGTTACGCCCCACGAGTCTCGGTATGCTGGTGTCGAAAGGAATTCCGGAGAGAAACACTCAATAACTTGAGGACATGCAGCAAATATCTTTGTCCAGCACTGACATGGCAAGTGTCGTGCAGAAGCGTTACTCCAAGGTCAACTAGTTGTAGTGTGCTCAAGTTGAAACTGTTACATAAGGTATTAGGTACAGGATGTTGCGAGTGGCAACTCAGATGTTGTCATCCGGAACTTTTGTGTTCCCGACCCCTTTCGGGGATCTGCAGTATCATTCAAGCTTCGTGTTACACAAGCCCAAAAACCCCAAGAGCCCGCATCCAACCATCCAGACTTTATGGCGGTGGGCCAACAGCTGGACATCATCGATGCAGTATCATCTGGTACCGCAAATTCCACTGGTAAGACAATCATGGCTTGCCGTCAGAATAGAAGTGGCCGAGGCGTAAGAAGGACACAAATGATTCCGACAAAGCCATTTCAAGAGGACTTGAACATATGAGAACATGTCTATCCCGTCCTTCAAATGCTACGCTGACTCTCCGAAGAAGAATAGGCTTAATATGCGTAAGAACCTTAACCGGGAATGCGGGTGAATGATACTGTGAGCCGAGGGGGTGCATGGTCACATCTCCTGTCCCGTCCGTGATCGAGCCAATAAAAAGTAGTTAGAGGGAAAATGATGGTTGAATGGTTGCGCATCGTCTTATTTCGGCTTCCTGCTTTGCACACCTTCCTCATTGGAAATGTATACCTGGGTCTAGACCTCGGTGTCGGTGAAGCTTCGGAGATGAAAGACCAGGATGGTTGATACAACTTTTCCCGCCAGCGGAATTGATTGATTCGATCCAATAGATGTCAACTCCGAAGTTGTTCGCAGAAATGGACGCAGGCAACCTCGCTGAGTGTCCGCAAAATCTCCTCAACCAAATAGCTTCCTTTGTCGCCTGTATTTGTCCAACAAGCTCTGCTTCACAAGGAAGGTGTAGTTGTGGTCTGTCTTTTGGAAGTCCAACTGAATCTATCCGGGCCAATGATAACCTCCAGTCCTCACGGACCCAGACTGGATTCAGCTGGAGCTCCAACAGACAGGCCACAAGTCCAACGTCGTCATATGAGGCAGAGCCTCCTGGACAAGCACAGGCAACGAAGGAAATGTTTGATGCGGCTGTTACGGGAACTAGAGCCCTCTCTTGAACTCTCGGGGGTATCTTAACGGATGGCTATGTCTTCATCGACAACGTTTGGGATGCTGCGACCAGGTATAGCCCAGTCAGCTTCAGCTCAGAGTTAAACCATCGATTGTCAGGAGGGACACTCACCCGTTCGATTACCAAAACGTCCTGAATACAGTGGACAACGACCTTCCACGGTATGGCTAGAATCGCATCCATAAGTGGACCCAGAGAAATCACTCCTTTCGTCGTTGAGACTTCATGGCTCTGCTGCTGGCCACATGCTCCGTCAGGAGCTCATGAAAAGCCGCCCCCGGGGCTGCCTCGATGCTATCCAGAGATTCCGAGGACAAGTCCTTGTCTCCCATTTGGAAAACTTGGCTCTGGTCAATGGAAGCCAAAGATGGAGCTCGGCTTTTGCGGTGAGGCGATTGAATACGGGCTTCCTCTGCACCGGATCCGGCGCACCTCCCGACGCTCAGATCGGTGGAAAGGGGAGTGGGGGGTCGTGAGTTGACATCTCGAACACCCATGATTTGTTGAGAATCACAAAGCGTAATTTCTTAAGGCGTGTTGGCGGGCGATTGTATTTTGTTGGAGTTTGGCGGTCAGCATGACATTTGACGGCGATGTTCGTGCGGCGTTGGGGTTGAAGCCGTAAAGTGGAAATAACGATTTACGGACGAGCGGTCCTTCCCCGGCCCGCAACGTGAACTCATAATGACGCAAATGTGCCATTCATCATTCTACAGCTCCTTCCCCATCTACCCCGTGCCGCTCTCGGGGCTCTAGCGTCATATCGTCGCATGAGGTGAGTTGGTTTCGGTCAGTTGAATTGTCAAACCGAACATTGACCACACTCACGCCGTCAACAACCGCATCCGTCAAACTTTTATCGAAAAGACTCCCTCTGCATCACACAACATAGCACACCACAGCCATCATCTCCTCGTACCACAAACCAACATCATGGCCGAAGACAAGCACCAATGCCTCTCCCTCTACGACGTCTCCATCCCCACCTTCCTCCGGGGCCTGCACACCCTCAAGCATCTGCTCGTAACCGCCACCAAGCACGCCCAAGTAACCGACATCTCTCTGTCCGAAATGCCGTCCTGGTCTTTATACCAGGACATGAAGCCGCTCACCTTCCAAGTCCAAGTCGCCAGCAACACGGGCAAGAAGTTCATCGACCGGCTGACGGGCCAAGACGGCCCCGCCTTCAAAGACGATGAGACCACCATCGAGCAGCTCATCGAACGCTGCCAGCACACGATTGATCTGCTCAAGAAGGTGGACCGCAAAACCATCGACGAGGCGCACGCCAGGAACAATACCATCAATCTCCAGCTCAAGGATAAGGTGTTCAACATGACGCCGCAGCATTACGTGCTCAAGTTCGCGGTGCCGAATTTCTTCTTTCATGTGCAGACTGCATATGCGATCCTGAGGATGAAGGGCGTACCCGTGGGGAAGATGGATTATTTGAGCAACTTTTTGGCGCCGGATGCTTGATCCCATTTTCCATTGTCATTTGTCATTGATTGTATGGTCGGACACTGGGAAGGGATGATGGGAATTTATTCGATGGAGAGTTGATGATGATGAGGTCAATGTGCTTTCTGGTGATTTTGTTTGTTGAAAGAGTGTCAACGCTTTTTGTAATCTTGTGTAGGAGATATTCGTCCCCTAGACCTCTAGAACTAGATATCACTAGCCCCCGATATTCTCGATTCCGCCACAGTCAAGTACTCGCCCGTCTCGACATATTGAATCTGTATAGAGAGAGATCACACATTTGTTAGATGTTAGTTCCATTGTTAAGCTTTCGTTTCAATTTGCTTCCATTTGCTTCATTCATTCTGTGTGTGCCCCCAGCACAACGTGCCTTCCAAACGAACCTCCCCCTCCCCCCCCCCCGCGCAAAAGTATACAAACTTACCTGATACAAAGAAACTTCGTTCCTGTCCAGCGGATCGACAATTAACCGAATGATGCCCAGCGCCTCATCGCCGTTCCGGTCTAAATAAAGGGAACTGTCGTTCCGCGTGAGTCAAGACTCAACCGGCACGGGAATGTTGGAATGTTGGAAGGGGGATGGATAATGTGATTGGGTGAGTGGGACCTGACTCACCTGTGTAGACGATTGTCTCTCCGATTTCGTAGGCGGCCATGTTGATGTTGGTGGTTGTTGTTGATTGTCGGGTTATGGGGCAGGTAGATAGATGGGCAATTTGCTGTTATCGGAGTTCTCGGGCGCTTTAGTTGAACGGGATGTATGCAGTAGTGTTGACTACAGTTTTTTGTGATCACAAAAGTCCGAACTTCTACTTGATATTTCTTTCTTACATGTTCGACTTCAACGGCTATCAATAACTTCCAGTGTCTACAACTGGAACCCACAAACCACTACGTCAGTGGTGAATCGGTGATGGATATATGTGCCGGAAGTTGAAGTGTTCGGCCCGCGCTTTGACGTGATCTCATCAGCTGTGCGGAAGCCAGGATCCGGACTGGTGATGGATGGGGTTAACGGAGGTGGCCGTAGCGGAGTAACCTTGAAGACAAACCAAAAACCAAGCGCACGGATATAAACGTGTGAAAGCAACATGATGATCGTGGAAAGGAGGTATTACGAATTCTAGTATTTGTTGAATGATTATCAGGCAGACACTTCTTCCTTAGGCCAGCTCGCACTCAATAACGTTCTCAACCGCCGAAAGTCCACTCGACCAGAATTTCGTAATCTTCAGTCCCAACCCGCTGCCCTCGATGAGGCTGTGCCACTGATCCTCCGTTCGCTCGCAAGCCGAAAGCTGCGTCATCATCAGCATATCGCCCGCGGTGCTTTCCCAATAGGCACCGGTGCTTGGGATCACGCATTCGAAGATGAGCAGCTTGCTGTAGCCGGGCTTCATCGCCTCCGCCAGACGAGCGAGGATCTTCTGGCAGACATCATCCGGCCAGTCGTGGAGGATGGAGTGCATGAAGTAAGCCCTGGCGCCCTTGATGGGCTGTTCGGTCAAAAAGTCGTGAGGCATGCGCTCGATGGAGGGATCAATATCCTTGGCGTCCTCGATGACGGGGGCGAGATCTTGCAGGATCAGTTTGCCGGGATGGTTGGGGTATTTCCTCCTGAACTCGTCAATGTCATGGCCGAGACCGCCGGCAACGTCGACTACCAGTGGCGCGTCGGGCTCGGCACCAGGGAACAGTTCTTTCTCGACGGGATAGATCTTGGGGTGATGCCATGGCAAGCGACCCTGCCTGTAGCCGCCCATATGGTGGTTCATCTGAGGACCCATTCCGATGGTCCCGAGATACAACATGCAGTTTGGCACGGTGCTGTTGTATGATGCATGGAAGGCTGTGTGGGCGGCATCGACGGGGTTCCGCCAGTTGGTCTCGCGAAGGAACTTGTAAAACTCGAATGGGCTGCGGCCAATGCCACCAAGCAGGCAAACGTAGCCGTCGCCGATGACATCGAGGCTCATTGACTTGGTAAAGTTTGTGAGCTTGTACTCATCCTGAGCCACTTCTACAAGATGGCCCATGGCGCAGACGTGACGCATTAGGCGGCCTGTAATTTTGACTGTTAGCTCGGATTCTTCTTCGTTCGTCAAGTTATTTAAGTCACTAACCGAGAAGTTGAGGATCCATGCCCAATGACTTGGCAAGGTCGTCAACCTTGTGGACGGCGTCAACGCCATTCTTAACCATGAGCTTCCAAAGGCCGACATCGACACCTGTAATCAAAGCAGCATCAAGTCCAGGCTATATTTGTTCTTTTGATTAGCATTATAGCCCAGAGGATTGGAGAGACTCGGTCACTTACATCAGCCCATGTGTGCTGCACCATCTGCTCACGGGGTGTCAGGAGAGACTGGAGAAGACTCCGGGCCTTGACAACCATCTTCAGGCGGGTCTCCTCATTTTCTTCCTTCCAATTTTGGTTGAGACCATCGAGATCCTTGATCAACCCCGACACAGCATCGGCATCGCTTGGCCGAGTGGCGAGCGAGAGATCAACTGTTGTTTTGGACATGTTGGCTGTATGTATGTGATGTGTTACCGAAGCGAGGAGAATGATACAAGGGCTGTCAACTGCGAGTAAAGAGGATTTTCTGCTGCTTTTTATACATGAAAAGGCTTACGAGGACGGTCTACCTGACAAGTCTGAGCTCCTCTCGCTATCTCCCCCTTTCGCGGGAAGAAGATGAACCCCGATGAACCCCGATGAACCAGCACAACCCATCTCCACAGGTATTCCGTGGCGACGGAATAGTGTTTTATGGAACAATCAGAGTAACTGTTTCGGCAGGTAAAAGCGGTGCTCACCATGGTTTGAGGGTGGGCCGGTCGAGTAGCTCCGGGATATGGTTCGGAAAACCTGGTCAGCAATCTCAACTAGCATGTATAACTCGTGGCTGATATGGGGGCAATCCTTCTGATGATGCCACTCTTCGCTTCTAGAAGTAGAGCCTGGCACGTACCTTGAGGCTTGATCTGTCTAGACTCCTGTCCCAGGCTGCGTGGTGATATAGTACAGTGTACAAAGGCTGAAAGAGCACCTCCTCTTCATTGTCACCTTGCCATCTCGGCTGTCGCCCACATTCCCACTAGACGCGTTGCCTCGAGGATTAACTGGCAGGCCTTCAATCGATGGTCGTGAAGATCGCATCCAAACTTGGGCAAGAATGCGTGATCATGAAAATGAGGATGGGACGACGTTAAAGAAAGAAGCAATGAAAGCTGCACTGTGCCAGATGTAGGGCTGGACCCACCAGATAAGGGTTGTTAGCAAGACCGCTGGGCGTTGGCGCTTTGACAGCAGTTCGGCACTAACCGAGACCCGCTAATCCAGCCTGTTCCAGGCCGTACGGTGCCATACAACGACCCTGTCCAGGCACCGGGTCACTTTTCCGAGGGCAACTCCACCAGGGAATGCGTCAAAAACACCCCGCCACTGTGCAGCATGCACCGACCGTTTCATGAACAGTGGGTTCACGTTACGGTCTACTGAAAGTCGAAATCTCGTTGTCGATGAAGAATGCAACCTTGAATCCCATGATTGTAGCGAGCACGAAGGTTGGCAAGGTTGGGGTAAGAGCGAGACAATTGAACCTCACCGCCACACCGTCCACTATGAGGTGCTGAGAGTCGAGACGAAGAAGGAACGAAGATGGCGACTTCCACCAGCATAGACACTCGAACTTGAGTTGGGTTCACCGATGAATTGCTTCTTCAGACTCGTGACTGCCCTGCCTACACACAGATGGGTGTGCCTACCTTGTTCGTCCTGCCTCATTTTTTTCTAGCAGACAACTTCCCAGCCATCAACCACTCATTCCCTGGTCATTGCCATATTGAGACATCACCAACAACTCTGGCTTTTAGAGTCATCTCTCCCATCAAAGGAAAATCTCATTAATCCAGAATACAACGAACTGGATCATATTGACCCATGGAACGCTCTCTTTCGTCCAGCTTCGTTCCAACCAGTCTCAAGACGGGCGCCGTACCCCGAGTTTTCGGCCTGTCTCGGCCGACAAAGACATTGTCGAGCACCACGGAGAGTTTCTAACCTTTGAACTTTGCTTCTTTCGCTGAAAAGGGGTTCTGACCTGGCCACTCAACGCCCATCCATTGTTGTGCAAGGAACCATGTCATTTTACGACAGGTCATTGCCGCTGGAGTCAACGTCCCCATGTTGACGAGGCATCGGGACGAGAATGCCATAACCGAGGGCGTGGCAGGCCTGCACGCCACCTGCATTTAGACTTGAAAAGAGTTCAAGTCCCAAGGGCTTGGGTCAAGGTGGTATCACAATATTTGCTTCCTGCAACTGACCCAGTACGAATTTTGTAACAGACATGTTGGCAAACGTTGCCAGATGTTCGAGAAGTTCCCAGCCTCTTGGCTCGGGTACCGCTTTTTTGTGCCCTTTGTGGTTTTTATTCGGCTCAAATGTCGAGAATTCCGGCATTTGGTGGCCGATTCCTACCTGTCTATCTGAGATTTGCTACAGGTCTCGTTACTCCAGAAGTTGATAATCCTGAACTCTGGAGGCGAATCATTTAGAATTGAAGTGTCGTTCTGCAGCATGCCATCCATCTTCATCTTCGATATCTATTTCTTCATCTGCTCTAATTTTGAAACCAGCCGTTGGCGGTAATGAGCTTTTCGGTGTAAACCGGTTTTTGTTCTCTCGAGTGTACTTATTTCCATCCTCACCACTAGGTACAGCCACTATTGGTCTTCCGACCACCAAGGCAAGATGGACGACAAAGGGCCGATGATGATTGCGGTGTGCTGGATATTTACGGTACTCGCCATTCTCTTCGTCGGCGCTCGTCTCTACGTCCGAGCTGTCGTGCACGACAGGCTCGCCGCCGATGATTACATCGTTGTATTCTCGTGTGTAGGTATACCACACACACTCACGCCCCCCGATTATCCCTCGAATGTTCACGACGCTTTGAAAAGCCGTCTTACTGACGTGACTTAACCATGTCCTCACAGTTCTGCGCCGTCCTTTCCAACATATTCGTAACGATATCCGTCTCCTGGGGTAATGGTCGACACTTTGCCGACCTCGACCTCGAGCAAAAGGAAAACACCATCAGGTGGATGATGGCGGCCTACTTTCCCGGAATCGAAACGCTTGGCTTCCCTAAGCTGGCTGTCATCGCCCTCCTGGTTCGACTACTCGCGCCTAGCCGGCTGCACACTATCATCCTGTGGTCCATGGGCACCATCTGCTGCCTGTCACTCACGGCCATGGTCATGACCCTGCTCTTGCAGTGCACGCCGACTCACGCGCTTTGGACTCTCAAATTGCCTCATAACTGTCTTGCTCCGAGTGTGTTGGAGGGTTGGCTTATTGGGCTAGCAGTAAGTTGGTCATGTTTAGCTCAAAAAGCACCAACAGAGAAACCCATGGCTAACCACATCATTACCGAATCTACACAGCATGCTCCGCGTTTCTAGACTTCTACTTGGCCATCTACCCAGCTGTTGTACTGTGGAAGCTACAAATGCATACCAAAAAGAAGCTAGCTCTGTGCTGTGCTCTCGGTATGGGTCTTGTGTAGGTACATCTGGCGGTGTTTCTGCCTTACGCCTCGATCTATGTTGACTGACATGAAAACGTGCTGGTAGATCGGGCGCTGTCGGTATCATTAAGGCAACTGGCGTGTCGACTCTGTCCAGTCAAGATGTTAGCTGTAAGCTTTGCCCCAGTCCCAGGCACCCACTCCCAAAGGGAAAGAGTCTGTTCCTGCTCAACAAGATGAGAAACTAACAAGGCACCCGCCCGCAGACGATCTCTGCGATCCTTTATACTGGACCTCGTAAGTACCGTCTGTACCTGCCACCTGCCATCTATCTACTTGCCTACATATCTTACCTCTCCTGTTTCTTTCACCAAGAGAAAAATACCAGCTAACCATCTCTCCTCCCTCCCACAGAATCGAAGGCAACCTAATAATAATAGCCGCCTGCATTCCCCTACTCCAACCGCTCGTCGAAAAAGCCAAAGGCCGCAAAATTTGGCGATCCAAGGGTTACAAAACCGGCTCCAGCGACGACGCCACCGGCGGTCATTACGCCGACGGCACTACCGGGATGAGCAAAAGCAAGCGAAGTGGACCAGACGCCCTCGAGATGTCCAGGAACAGGAAGAAGGTCGATCAGTATGGGTTTACGATGCATGCCAAGGAGGAGAGCGAGGAGGATCTGAAGAAGGCGGATAGCAATAACGGCAACACAGAAGATGATATGGAGGGAGGAGGAAGGAGACATGACAATGATGGGAGGATCATGCAGACTATGTCTGTCACTGTTGCTTATGATCAGGTGGGAGAGGGAGGAGCGGGGACGACGGCTGCTACTAGGTGGGCTGCTGTTTAGACGGAAATATCGAAGCTAGAGAGCGGGGACTGCGTATGCATGGATTGTTATTGTGGATGGATAGGTTGACTCGAAGCTTGAATGCTTCTATGTGTTTTCTTCGTTTCCTTCTCTTTTTTTCTTCTTTTTTTTTGTTGCTCATTTTTTGGGGATTCGGTGTTCTGCCGGCGCGATATCCGACGCCATCCGCCGTTCAGTACGGCACAGCCATCAGAGGTCCGTCCGCATTTTTGAAGATCAAGACATTCGACCGCAAGGTCCAAAATCAAATTGCTTGCATTTCTCAGACCTCCCGCGTCAACACAATTGTTGTTCCCTCCAGTTGGTGTTTGGCCTCAGTGACAGAAGCAACCAAACACAAACTAACGCTGGGTGTTGTGTTAGCCCGGTACTCCTAAGGCAGAAGACAAAAAGCATCGTAAACGGTCCCAAACCTCCCAACAACATAATAGATGGCTGTGAATGAACTGAATAAGTATGAGGGAGAGCCAAAATGGTATGTACCAAGTAAGATTACGCTTTTTCTCGAGGATAAATCGGATGGATCAGGTATCAAAACACCTAGGAAGGTTGACCAGAGGTCTCCAGCTAACAGACAAACCAGCATTGAGCTCTGCAACAAAATCCACCAATGAAATCTGACTCGCCAAACCAAAAAGGCAAGTGGGTCTCCAAAGCGGAGCGCATGTGGGGT